AAGGAGGGAGTCCTTGTCCGGCCAGCGTGGCTCAGAGGTTGAGCATCGACCTATGAACCTGGAGGTCACAGTTCGATTCCCAGTCGGAGCTCATGCCCAGGTTGCGGGCTCAATCCCCAGTGTGGGGTGTGCAGGAGGCAGCTGATGGCTGCTTCTCTTTCTCATCGTTGATGTTTCTGTCTCTCTGTCCTTCTCCCTTCGTCTCTGAAATGAATAAAAAATATATTTAAAAAAGAAAGAAAGAAAAAAGCAAAGAAGAAAGCCCTGAAGGTTCTTGGGAGCACCGTTGGATAGGGGGTCCCAGACTCCTGGGTCTGGGGATGCGTCCCTAGTCATGGCATAGAGGAGTGAGGCACTCGTGGGGAAATCAGGCGTCCACATGGTACCCCACGAGACCTAAAACCCTTTTCGGCTGTCACGTTCCGGGAGAAAAAAATGCTGAATTGTAGAGGCTCTGTCTGTGGAGACAGGCTACCTGCAGCAGGAATATCATGACCCAGATACGGAGAGCACAGCTGGATATTGTCTTCGGCCACCTGGTGGCCCTTTCTCACCGCCGGCTTAGGACGGTGATCAGTGTCCAGAGGAATTGTCACAACCCTCAGAACGGAGAAGGAGGCCATCTGCATAGTGTCTTAAAGTGGGGTCTCCTGGGAATTTCACGTCCCTCCAATTGGCCATTAGGGGGCGCAAGAAGGAAGTAGGAGGAGCCTCCGTCAACCCTTGGGGCATAAGAGTCCAAGGGTATTGGTCCCAGGGGAAGGCAGACAAGTGTAGGGATTCCTTCCAAAGGGGGCCCTAAACCAGACAGAACAGGAATCAGGGACTGTGAAATGCCGGGTGTTGAAGGAACACCCCACAGGATAGTGTCGGGATTGGGGGCCAAGGCAAACCTGGGTTTGACGACTCTGTTGATAGATCGCAGATCTTGGACTAACTCATACCCTTGCCTCTTTGGTTTTCTGACAGCCAAAAGGGGAGTACTGCTTAGACTAGAAGTGGGGACCAGACTGTATTTTGCCTAACAAACCTTGGGGTGTTGGGCAGAGTCCCTCAAGTTCTCTGGCTTTGAGTGACGTTGGGAAACCATGGGGAGGGGCAAGCAGTCTGCAGGCAGAGGTCTAGGTCTGATGGTGGTTATGATCCAGATCGGAGCTACAGCACGAAGCACTGCTAAAGAGAACCAGAGCCCTAACCGGTTTGGCTCAGTGGATAGAGCGTCGGTCTGTGGAGTGAAGGGTCCTGGGTTCGATTCCAGTCAAGGGCATGTACCTTGGTTGCGGGGACATCCCCAGTGGGAGGTGTGCTGATTGATATTTCTCTCTCATCCATGTTTCTAACTCTCTATCCCTCTTCCTTCCCCTCTGTAAAAAGTCAATAAAAATTCATTAAAAAAAAAAAAAAGAGAGAGAGAGAGAGAGAACCAGAGTTGACAGAAGTTAAAGTGGTAAAGATGGATTTCACTCAAAAAACTATTGCAGAAAAGAGAGAGAGAGAAAGAGAGAGAGAGAGAGAGAGAGAGAGGAGAAACCATTGCAAAAGGGAGAGACTCCAGTATAGAATGGGTTTCAATTCCAAATACAAACAGAACAAGCGGGGATTTATCAACAAGGAGCGAATTGTGTGTGTGTGTGTGTGGGGGCATTGATGAATGGGAACTCACCCAGAGGAGAGACAGAGGTCAGGTCCAGAGGGATTCTGGCTGAAGGCAGCCATCAGGGTGATCAGATCACTTGGGGGGGCAGTGGGGATGGGGAGTTGGATTGGGTAACCAAAGATAGGGGTTTCTTGCTCATCGGATTCAGCGGGATTCTAGATAAAACTGGATTCTAGAAGGAAGTACACGCCCGGGCCTTGCTGGGTGGAGGGCTCAGGGCGGCCAGGCTGAAGTTGGTCACAGGGAGAATCATCAGCACCAACAGTGGGTGGGCATCGCCTGGTGTTTGACAGAGGCTGCTGGGGGAAAGGAAGTCCGGGTTTGGAGAAAAGGTGGGGCGATTTCACCCCTTCCCATGGGCAAGCTTCTCTGTGGGGTCCCTCTTTTGGGAAATGGATTTCTAAATTTTTTTTTTGCTCTGAAATGGCCTTTTGGGAAGTGTACAGTCACGTCAGAAATGAACAACAGAGCTGTCCCAGTTTAACTGCATGCCTTGCCGTCTCCCACACTATTTATTCCCAAGCAGCCATTATTTTTTAATTATTATTATTTTTTTAATTTGAGTTTAGGGTGCTGCCCAATAAAGAGAGGTGCCTGGGAGCCACGCGCTTAGAGGCCTATTGTTAACTAACTGGGTCATTGTTTTTCTCTTGGTAGGAGCCTCCACTCGTGTCCATCCCATCGGAAGGAGATGGCATCCCTGGGACCAGACCTTGAAGTGCCCATGATGGGTTCCGGCTCCTCCAGGTCGCTCCGCGGGGCCCGCGGTGAGTTTGCGCGCCCATCCCTCACAGGGCTCGGTGGCTCTCCAGGGTCTGGCCAGCACCCAGGGCCTGAGGGGACCAGGGGGACCGAGAGGTGAGAACCCCAGCCCTGCAGTCAGCCAGCCCTAAGCATCACCCACATTTTCCCGTATCGTTTCATGTGGAACTTGCCTCCCCCATTCCTTTCCCGTGGTGTCTTCCGAACGTAAGCTCGGACACAGCATTTCCCAGCACAAGCTCCTTCTGAGACCCCGCTGCAAGGAGGGGCTGTCCGAACACTAGGTTCTGGGGGTGCCTGTCCCCGCACTGACTTACGGCTCCATGGGGTTCAGTCGTGAGCAGGCCCAATGCCTCTCTGTGGGGTTGTTTCCCCATGCAGTGTTTCCCAAACTTTTATAAATTATAGAAGTGTACCCCTTCTATAATTTTCGTAACGCTGAGTACCCCTTGTCCTCATGAGAACGTAGAATGAGGCGCAGCTAAGCACGGTGCAGTGCCTATCCCCACCAAACTCCGGTGCAACGCGTACCCCCACCAAACTCTTCCCGTACCCCTGGGGGGACGCGTACCACACTTTGGGAAGCACTGTTCAAGGGAAGGTTCTGGCTCAGGGAGTGGCCGAGGCCCCTTGTTTGGTAAAGCGAAGGCCCTGAGCATGGGAACCAGGGCCCCACCCCCACCCCGGCTGCCCCACCCTGCACCCCCACGGGCCTCTCAGGCTCCCGGTGCCACAAGACAAAGAATAAACAAACAAGAGGCCATTTCCCGCTCCCCGGGAAGCGGAGCTGGGGTGGTCTGCTCCGCGGCGCTGTGCGGACGGCCCGGCGTGCCAGGTGGCAGCCGGCCAGCCGGCGAGGGCCGGCCCTTCCCCTGCCTGCCCTGCGGGAACATCTGAGGACACCGAGGCCAGAGGTGCTGATTTTGCACCCTCCCTGGTGCGATAGCATCCCCACTCCAGCTCGTCTGTACTCCTGGCCGGCCGGCCCGGGGCGGGCAGCCTGCCTGGGGCGGCCCGGCCACCCGGGTCCTGCCTGCTTCTCCAGCCTCAGGCACATCGCCTCTTAAGGAAGCGCCCCGGCGGCTTCTGCACTGTCAGCACGCACTCCAGGTCTGGGCGCCCGCCAAGCCCCGGCCGCCCAGCCCGGCCTCCGCCCCTCCCCCCATGTGTCTCCTGCTTCCTTCCTCTGTCACCACTCTCCATCTCCATTGAGGAGCCGGTTATTGATCTGGGTCCCTTTCTCAAAGTTGCCCCACGCTCATTCCATCCATACCCCTTGCTTCCCCCTCCCCACCTCCCTTCATCCCCCCTCTCCCCACGGTCCAGTCCTCCCAGTTTGTGGATGCAGGTGCTACATCACACCCAGCCCCTCCCAGGGAGAGCAGTGCCCCAGACAGGGGTGTCCCCGAAGAGGAGTCAGGTGGCCTGGGCCTGCCTGTGGGAAATGGGGTGGCTGAGCCGTGCAGAGTTGGGGAGGGGGTTTCTCCTCAGTGCATCCCTGCCTGTGCATCCTCCCCTCCCCCCCCCCTCCCCATGGTGAGCATCCAGAAACCCGGATGAGCCTGATTCACCCAGCTGCCCAGGTCAGGGCCTGGCACGGAGCAGGCGTCAGTAACTGCTGACTGCACCGCCGGATTGCCGTGTCCCTTCCGTGCCAGGAAAGGCGCTTGGCTGCTGCCGCTCCGTCTCCAGCGTGGCCTCGAGAGCCAGCACGGACTGGCCAGTCAGAGTTGACTCAGCAGATCGACGTGGTGGGGCCGGGGAACAAGGCACCGAACGGGGACGGGGAAGCACAGGTGCAGGAGGCCTGGTCCCCACTCCCCACCGTGCCCTCCGTTCTGACTGTGCCCTCCGTTCTGACCGGGGCAGGATGGGGGCAAGAAAAACCTCCGGTTTCTCACGGGAGGGACCTCGGGGCTGGTCCTGGAACCTGCTCTTCTGTATAATGGAATAGTCATTCCTCCCGGTTCATCTTCCAGGGGGCGTATTGGGAGGAACGGGCGAGAAAAGGGCTTTGAAGCTGTTTTAGCATCAAAATGTCTGTCCTTACACCGATGACGAGTGGGACGGGCGACCTCCAGCCTCATGCCAGGGCCTGGGCTCGGTGTGGCCTGTGTGACCTCACTGGTGTGCAACCCGGCAGGCTGGGCGACCTCACCCCAACACCCACATCTCTCGTGGCCACGTTAGAAGTCGTAACAGTCTTTCGGGGTCCTCCCCCCCCCGCAAACTGTGAAGCACCTGGAGAAGGGGGAGGGGTGGGTGGAGAAGCAACATCCTTTCCCATCGTTAGATAGAAGCAACCCAAAGTAAAAAACAAAACAAAACTGTCATGTTTTTATTTGTGGAAGATAATTTAACACGGTAACGTAAAAATATCTCTTTATCCGTCGCGGGAAACCCAGGGGGCCGCCCGAGGACCAGTCCTGTGCTCTGTGAGGGCCGGGAGAACAGACCCCCCTGCAGCCCCGGCCCTCTGCCCGCGTCCCCGCGGCGGGCCTGCAGGCCGCTGGCGGCCGGAGCGCGGCCCTGGCTGGGGGAGGCGCCTCCGTCTCTGGGAAAGCTGATGGGGAACCGGAGGTCACGGCCGAGCGTTGGAGGCCTGGCCGGGAGCCACGGGCGAGGCCAACGTGAAACATCTGCCGGAGTCTCCCCAGGCACCTGGCTGGGGCGAGTGGGAGGAAGGAATGGGGAAAACTGATGCTGAACCTCAAATTAGCACACCCCTGACATGGCCTTTGCCGGCGTAGGAGGAGGGGGTGAGGCTGGCAATAGAGGGACAAGCTTCGACGGGAGTGAGGGACAGACCCAACAGGAGCTGAAGGACCCTCTGTCCTGGGAGGAGCAGGGAGGAGCTGGGACACGTGGCTTTGTAAAGGCTGGTCTGAAGCCAAGGGCCTCGCAAAGCAAACAGCTGAGGGAGCCTTGGGGGGCTCCCTCAAGCCCCCCAAGGGGTGTGGGTGCAGGGGTGTGTGTGGGGAGGGGCCATTTGTTGGTGGGACTACAGTGCGGGATTCTGGCTGAGGATGGGTGGGCTCACCGGGTGACCCCGTTTTTTTTTATTTATATTTTTGCATGAAGGACCACAGATCTAGAACGAGGGAGCCCGGTCTGCCCTCTACTGGTGGTTTTGGGGAACGACCACGGCACAGCAGCGCTGGACCTGCGACCCAGAAGGGCCGGGAGAGGACCAGGCCCCGGGGACCCCCGGGGCCTCCCAGGCTGGCTCCTCAGCCTCTGCCCGGCTTGCAGAGGCGGGACCGGGGCCAAGGAGGGCCTCCGGCGCTCACTTCAGAGGCACCGAGAAGAACTTGTTCCCGGACTTGCAGCGGACCTGCTCGGCGTGCGCCCGCAACAGCAGCTCCGAGTCTTCAAACGCGTCCACGATCTCCTGCAGCCGGGAGCCGGGAGAGGACAGTCACTGGAGGGGACTCAGGGAGCGGACCAGCGGGCACTGCCAACAGCTGACAGACCCTTCAGAGGTGGTGAAGGGTCTGTCAGCTGGGCGGAAGGAGTGGCTGCAGGACAGGATCCAATAAGACCAGGATGGGCACCCGGGTCTGCGGGGGGCTCCAGCAAGCTCTGTGCCACCTCCAGCTCAATGGGGCCCAGAGCAGGGGCGGCTGCTTGCTGCAGCCCCTGGCTCTATGGAGCACGCAGGCTTTGCTTGGCCTGCAGCGTGTTTTTGAGAAACATACAGATCGGTTGCCAACATTAGGAACCGGGTAGGGGATACAGAGAAATCTGGATTTCTGGCTTCTCGGGAAAACGGGAGTGGTAGCAGCACGAGGCCGCATTCCTTCCCGGCAACCCTCCCACCGCCTTCCTGACCCGAGGAGGAGGGTCGGCAGAGTGTCTGCGGACCGCGGGGAGAGGGACATAGTTCACCTCGTCACCACAGGAGAAAGGCCACGAAGGTGGATGATGTGCCTTACGCCCAGCACGTGTGACTCATTCCCAACCCCGGCCAGGCCCCTGGGGGCACCCCAGCCTTTGACCTCCTGGCGAGGGGCGGGGACTTCAGGGAAGGCCGGCAGTGTCCTCTCGGAACCATGTTCTGGGGCAGCAACGCTCAGATGTTCTCACGCACACAGGTCCCCAGGGAGCCTGTTAAAACGCGGTTCTGATGCTCTGGGCCGGGGCTGCAGCTAACAAACTCCTGGGTGCTGCTGCTGCTGCTGCTGCTGCTGCTGGTCCAGGGCTGCAGCCAGGTAAGCCGGCGGGGTCTCTTGCGATTTCCCCGGGATTCAGGGTTGCACCCCTAACCCCCAGAGCCAATCAGCACTCGCCCCGCTTCCCCACGCCGCTCACTCCGGAGTTCAGCATCTTCCCGGCTCCTGCTGCGGGGACTCACCTGCAGCTCCCTCAGGCACTGGCCTTCCAGCTGGAGACGAGCATCGCCCACGCACCAGGCCAGGCTGATGTGGAAGGAGGGGTCCTGCAGGGGAAGGGCAGAGAGGCGGGCGGTCACCAGGTGCCAAGGCCGCCGGCTCGGGCATCACTGCGGATCCGAGAACAGAGCTGTCATGGGATCCGTGCTGGATCGCTGGATTGCTCCACGGGAGAGACCCTCCGTGCTGATCCGAGTTGGTCCCAAGCACCCTCGCAGTGTTTCCCAAAGTGTGGTACGCGTACCCCCAGGGGTGCGGGAAGAGTTTGGTGGGGATATGCACTGCACCGTGCCTAGCTGCGCCTAATTCTACGTTCTCATGATTGCGAGGGGTACTCAGCGTTAACGAAAATTATAGGAGGGGTACACATACTATGTCAAAAGTTTGGGAAACACTGCTAGAGGTGAACAAAATAGCCCTGGACCCAACGGTGTTCCCCCGGGTTCCTATGCTGAAGCCCTACCCTCCAATAGGATGGTACTTGGAGGCGGGGTCTTTGGGAGATAATTACGCCATGAGGGTGGGGCCCTCACGATGGGATAAGTGCCCTATAAAGAAGAGACAACTGAGAGCTTGCTTCCCCTCTCTCTCCACCACGTGAGGACACAGCGAGAAGATGACCGTCTACAAACAAGGAAGAGAGGCCTCACCCAACACAGACCACGCAGACACCTTGATCTTGGATGTCTAGGCCCCACCATTGGGAGAAAATAAATTTCGGTGTTTAAGTCGCCCAGTTGCACGGTATTTTGTCCTGGTAGCCAGCACTGAGGCAGTCCTGTTCCCATAGACTCTCCTTTACCAACGGCTGTGTGTGTGTGTGTGTGTGTGTGTGTGTGTCCCTGAATCTGGGACGCGGGAGAGAACCCAGGCTCTGAGCCCGTTTCCTGATCTAAAACACTTCGACAGATGACACCCTTTTTAAGATGAGATGAACCAAAAAATCAAAGTGTCTAAAACGATGAAGAAATCATTATTGTCTCCATTCAAGTTCACCCTTCTCTGCCTCGGGATGATCTGAAAATAAGATATTAAGCAAAAACCAGCGGCCCTTTAAGGCCCTGAGACTCAGCTTGGAGTTTGAGAACCCCTGAAGACCGTGGGGAGGTATACGAAGCTCTACCCTTTGGGGTGTCAACACCGAGGAAAACTGCCTCTTCCAAAACTGTAAGAAGAAACATAAAAACAATCTGGCATAGTAGGCATAACTCCTGCGCATGTTTAAGATGCATACAAAAGAATCCTAAGGAATGTCGGCCTTCTCGGATGGGCTGCGTCTGACCACACCTCAGACCCCTCCGCTTCTTCTGAGGGCTGGCGCTGGGGCCCCCTGGCGTGGGACAGTTCTGGGGGGCCCTTCAGTTTGTCTCTGACCGAGGCTGGTTTCACTTGAGTGGGGGAAGGAGAAGGGGCCGCAGGAGAAGGAAAGGGCCCGTGGGTTACCTTGTAGAACGTGGTGAGGTCAAATTCCTCCATGACTCTGTCTATCTCGGACACCAGGTCCAGGAACTGGGCGTGGCCGGAGGTCACCTCCAGCCCAACGAAGGTCCTGGGCGGGAGACAGAAGTGGGGAGACCACGGGGGCGTGAGACGCAGCCGCTGAGAACGGGAGCGTCGGGGAGGCCGCGGAGGACGTGACAGGCAGAGGGCCGAGCGGGCTGGACCGTCAGTGCTCACTCCCCGTCTCCTGCTCATCCTCCCTCCGCCGTCTGGAAACCTTCCTTCCCTCGGTCTAACCACACGCCTGCCTCCCTGCCTCCCCAGGGTCTGATAACGCTGACAGGAGTGCTTTCGTCGGCAGCTGCCACGTCTGCAGACCCCGAAGCCCCCGGACGCGTCTCTCCAGCACCGCTTCCGAGCCACCCCTTTCCCGAGGGCTTGGCTCCGTGGCACCGGCTGCCCTCCCATCAGCACCCAGACACACCCTCTTTCGTTTTTTAATCCTCACCGGAGGGTATTTTCCCCCCACTGAATTTTAGAGACAGTGGAAGGGACGGGGAGAGACAGAGAGAAACATCGATGAGAGAGAGACACATCCATGGGTTGCCTCTCCACACGCACCCCAACTGATCGGACCTGTAGACAAGGTACGTGGCCCTGACCCGGAATCAGACCCAAGACCCTCTGGTGCACAGGCCGATGCTCTAACCACTGAGCGACGGCGGCCAAAGCCATCAAACCCTGGTGAGCCTCACAAGCGTCCAGTGATGAACGTGTCAAGGACAGGCGTGTGACGCGGAAACAGGTCACAGAGCTGGAGATACGAGCTGAGTGTTAAATCGGGGGGCAGAGCTGGGGCAGGAACTCAGGTTTCCTTATAGCCGCTGCCGCAGGACGGCGAGCTGTTTTCTCTGCCTCTGCCCCGCCCCCACACCCCTCTCTTATTCCTCTTCACGAAAGGAAGGCTCAGCCTGGGGACCCATCGCCTTCACAGTCATATAGAGTCGCGGTTAAAACTACAAGCAAACGAAAAATGGCGGCAGACCAGGCCACAGACGAAGCACCCCGCCCCAATCTTTATCCTAAAGAACCTTCTGGAAATGACGGGGCCCAGGAGGAAGACCCACCTGGTTTTCTCTTCGTTGGTATAAATCTTTACCCGGTCGGCTATAAAGCAGAATCTGAAATTTAGAAGAAAAGACCACATTTCAGGAAGAATAAGGTGGTGGTGGGGGAATAAGGAAAAAAAAATAGTTTATAGTTCAAAAAAAAAAAGCACTTTGAAAATATAGTGAACTCATGGCGCACTTAGTATCGTCCCTCATTATCATACGGGCGGCAAATTGTAGCCCCAATATAGTGGAGCTGGACAAGACCTTAACTCATCGCCCCGTTCAAGGAGCAGAACAGCTCCATCCAGATGCCAGCGAGAATTCTACGTTAGGAATAGCCAGGCCTTCCATCCAACGGGTTGAGGCTAACTCAGATTACAGGAGGTATCATCTGTTCCGTGTACATTTTATTTTATTATTATTTTTTAAAAATATATTTTATTGATTTTTTTCATGTATATTTTAAAAAAGGACAATTCTGATCTCGCCCAAGCAACGACAAGAACAGTCCACAAGAAGCGACGCCCACTTCACAGACAAGAAAACCGGGGCGGCTGGGTTTGTGAGCCACACTTGACGCCTCAGTGGGCCTGATTCCAAGGTCCCTGCCCTCGAGATGCCCAGTGGTTTGGGTATAAAATTGGGGCAGAAACCGCCTCCCACCACTTGGATCAGTTACACAGGGACCGTCCGCTGCTCTGGAACCAACCCTGGAGGACCCAGGGAGGACCTCGGGGCTCTCTCTGGCCTGTGCACTCACTCACTCTATGGCCAGTGGGTGCCTACAGTGAGCAGAGCACCTCCAAACAAGAGTAGGGTTGGGGGGAGAGGGGGAGATTCTGAGAGAAGCCGCATTCCTGGGCTTACAGGAACGTGGGCTCCGAAGGGACATGGGAAGGACTGGGTATGAGAAGGAGAGAAATGAGCTCCAGGTTGTAACCAGCCATGGGGTGGATGACCCTTGGGATTTCCCCCTGAGGGATTTTGGGGGAAACGCCAACTGGGAGGGCAGCGAAGGGGCAGGAATTGGATCTGGCCAGGTCTAGGAGAAAGGCATTTCTGGCAGGCCCATGTATGAAACAGTTACAAAAAGTCCTAGAATGGCAGATACAACGAGAAGTGGGGTCCAGGTCCCACCCATCCTTTGCCAAGTGCCATGATAAGGGCACCCCGGATCTCATGTCACTCTCCCAAGTCCCTCCTGAGCAGCTACCACCACGCCCATGACCTGCACACAGACGGGGACTCGATGGATCCAGAGCTTACATGGTGGACCGAGCTCACACAGGATGAGGTGCAGACGTTTGGCCTGCTTGCTGGGTGCTACACCCCACACCTACATGGCCCTGGTAGCTATGTAGCTCAGGACAGGAGGAGGAGCCCGGGAGGGGAGGGGAGGGGAGGGGAGGAGGGGCGGGGCAGGGGGCGCTGGGCACTCACTTTGGGCGGGCGGCCACACGCTCTTTCAAAGCCTGCACGAAGGGCAGGATCCAGTGGTGCCGCAGGACCACGCTCTGGGACAGGCTGAGGTGGAAGGCCTCCATCCGCACCAGCCGGGGCACGTAGGTCTGCGCGTGGGGCAGCAGTGCGTCCAGCAGGTCCGGGAACTCCTCCCCGGCTTCATCTGGAGGGCACAGTGCAGAGGGTGGGCCATTCTCTTAGCAAAGGCCTTTGTCACTCCGGGTTTTAGGAGAAAATTACCTTGACAGCAGCAGTCTGTGTCTATGTATTTTAATAATATTTTAGCCTGGCCGGTGTGGCTCAGTGGTTAAGCGTCGACCTATGAACCCGGGGTGTGGTGGGGGGGGCATGGGGGAAGGACATGTGTGTCATGGTTCGATTCCCAGGCCAGGGCACATGCATGAGTTGTGGGCTCGATCCCCAGGAGAGGGTGTGCAGGAGGCAGTAGATTAATGATTCTCTCTCATCATTGACGTTTCTATCTCTCTCTCCTCCCTTCCTCTCTGAAATCAATTAAAAATATACATATTTTTATTTTTACTTTTTAAAAATATATTTTATTGATTTTTTTTACAGAGAGGAAGGGAGAGGGAGAGCGATAGAGAGTTAGAAACATTGATGAGAAAGAAACATCCATCAGCCGCCTCCTGCACGCCTCCCACTGGGGATGTGCCCACAACCAAGGCACATGCCCTTGACCGGAATCAAAGCTGGGACCCTGGAGTCCACAGGCCGAGGCTCCATCCACTGAGACAAACCAGTCAGGGCCATATGTGTGTGTGTGTATATATATGTGTGTGTATATATATATATATATAATATTTTTAAAAAAAAGTACAAGAGGCCCCTGTGGGCCTCAGCCACATGCCTTGCACGTGTTACTCACATGGAACGTAGACGTGGGTGGCCCAGTTGCCCCGCTCGTGGGGGAAAGTGCGCACCCGGCCCCCGTGCTTTGCGCTGTCGTCCTCAGGGGCCTCCTCGGAGCCGGGGAACATGTGCAGCACACTGTCCGGCACTGGCCACCTCTGGCTGGGGAGGGCGCTCTGGAGCCTGCGAGCGGAAAAAAGGAAATGAGCGCTGTCCTCCGAGCACCCTCTCCCTCCTCCGCACAGGGGGGCTGCGCCCCTAATTCCCCCAGGTGCTGCAAGCCCCGTGTAGACAGCTGCAGAACTCTTTCCCTCCCCAGGACTGTCACCACTCAGAGTCAGGCCTCGGCTGGGAGCACGGCTCTCCTGGGAAACAGCAATGTGTGGCTCAGATGGCACCTTTCTTAAAGGGCAGCAGACTGAGCTGGCGCAGCACCTCCTCGCTCTGCGGTCTTGGCCAGCCCTGTGCCCTCGGTGGGCCTCCGTTTCCTCATCTGTAAAGTATATACCTCGACCTGATGGCGCCGAGGGAGCCCAGGCTCCGCTGGTACTGCTCCCTGCTGAGCCCCAGTCCCCAGCCTGGCGCACGGTGGGTGCTCCATACATCTTTATAGAATGAATGAAAAAAACAACCCCCAAAACTCGCCATGCTTTAGCTGTTATTTATTATGATGCAACAGCGTTAAATGAGGAAACAGACCTAGGGCGGTGCAGTGATGGGCGCCAGGAGGTGGTCAGCCAGTGCCAGAGGCTGACCCCAACCCAGGATTCTGGCCTCTTAACCTGGGTCTAGCCGGGAAGGGGGTGGGGAGGGGCGCATTCTGGGGCTTTGTCCAGGGGTGTCTCCTGGAATCTCCACTCCTCCCTCCCTCACCCCCATCTCCATGCCCTTTCTCCTTTCCAGCCCAGCTACTTCTCACTGGGGTCTCCCACCCTCCCTTCGGGGGCTCCCGTGAACCCGCAAACCCCCCAGAAAGTCGTCTTCGCTTCTCACCGAGGGCGGCCTCCAGCCCCCGGCCCGGCCTGATCCCCGGCCTCCACCTCGGCCTCGGCCTCATCCTCATCCTCGGAGCCGCTGCTGCTGTAGCCCACCAGGGGAGCCGCGCTCATGGGGCCTGCGGGGACCACAGGGCGGCCGGCTCCCGCACGCACTCAGCACCCGGAATCCCCGATGCCGGAAGTGCCCCTGGGGGCGGGGCTAAGGGGGCGGGGCCCGCGTTAGCACCGCCCCTGGGCGTGGCCTGGATGGGCGGGGCCAGCGCCGCCCAGCACCCCCCCCCCTCCGCACCCAGCCCGCACTGCCTGGCGCTCGCTGCGGGTGCAGGGCAGCCCGACACGCCCTGGGTCCCCCCAGTCTCCGCGAGTTCATTCCGCGGGTCGTGCGGGAGCTCCGTCTGCAGCCGCCGGGACCAGGCGTCCCGGCTCCCGGCAGCCCCCAAGTCAGCGGGCCGCGCTCAGACCCGGCGGAGATCCTGCCCTCGTCGCCCCGGCGGGATCCGAGGTCCCCGAGCCCCCAGCTCCGGCCGGCTTCTCCCCTAGGAACCGGCTGAGCAGTCAGGGGGGTCACTCCCAGCGGACCCGGGGCCCAGGGGCCCTCCTCCCAGGTGCAGGGGTCGGGTCGGGGCCAGAACCCCCGCCCCTACGGCTGAGCGGGGTGCTCGGCGGCGGCGCACCCTCCCGAGTCAGCCGAGGCGTGACGGCCGGCCCGGCGCCTGCAAAGCCGCCCCGCGGTCCGACCCTGTCCTGCGCGGCCGGGCTCCGGGGTCCCCGGCAGGGGGCGACCTCGCTCCGCTCCGCGCCGCCCGCTCCTCCCGCAGCCGCCGCCGCCACCGCCCGGGCCGCCGCCGCCGCCGCTCCTCCTCCGGCCCCGCCTCCCTGGCCCCGCGCGCCCGCCCGCCCGTCCTCCGGTCCCTGCAAGGCCATCGGTCCGTCCGCCCGTCCTCCCGGCGCTCCTCCGCTCCGAACCGCTATCCCGGCCGCCTTCGTCGCCTCCTCGGTCACGATCGCCGGTAGCGCGTCCCCCACGCTCCCGGGCCGGTGCCGCCGCTACGCGAGGCCGGGGATTGGGCAGCGCGCGTAGGCCGCGCCTCGGCCGATCGAGCCGGAATAAAGGGGCGGCCGAGCACCGCGGGTCTCCTCGCGCCCCGCGCCCGCCCCCGCGGGTGGCTCGGAGCAGGTGAGCGGCGGGGCGCCCGCGACCGAGTCTGGGGGCCTCTCCCGCGCCCGCCGCACCCCTTCTTCCCCAGCCGTCCCACCCCCACCCCCCCAACCATCCAGCCCGCCCCGGCGGCCTCCCTCCGAGCTGGGCGGCCAGGCCGGCCTTGCGGCGCAGCTGCTTCCTGGGCCGGGCCTGCGCCCCCAGGCCTTCCCGGGGGCCCCTTCGCCCGCGGGGCCAGCGCCCCGGCTGCAGCGGCCTGGCCGTGCCCGGCGGAGGCTGACAGGCGCTGCGGCGCGGAGCGGGCGGGCGGTGCTGGCGGGGAGGTAATGATGGGCTTTCATCCGCCCTCCCCGGAGGAGGAGGAAGGGCTGGGATGGGTGGGGCGCAGGGGTGGCCCCCAGCCCCTTGCTTCCCTACCCCACTCTCTCTGCAGGGCCATCCGGGAGGCCTCGTGGCGGCTGCACCTTCCTGGAGCGGGTGGGCAGTGGCGCTGGGGGCCCTGGGCCAGGGACCTTGCGTGCGTTTGGCAGCCATTCGTGCAGGAAAAAACAGTCGTGTTGTTGGCGCAGCCTAACCTGCACCGCCCTTGCAGGAGCCGGGCTTCCCTCCCTTCTGGGGAGGCTCTGGCACCTGCTGGCTCCTGCAACCTGCTGCCTCCGCCCAGAACAACGGCCCCTTTCCTCCTCTTCCCAGAAGATGGAGGATGACAGCTTTTAGCCCCAATTCTCATGTTTCTTTGGCAGAACGGTGAGAGAGGCCAGGCTGGCCTGGGAAGGGGAATCCGCGTCTCTTTCCCTCAGGAGAAAACTCTGAAACTTTGTCAGTTTTTAGAGGCACAAGAGCTGGGAACCTGTAAAGTGGGATACGTTTGATTCTAAAAAGTTCCTTTCCTCTTGCTGTCATTACCTTATGCTGCCACAAAGTGGTGAGTTAGAGATTTGCCTGGACCGGGTGGTCTCTACCTTCTATCGGTTCCCCCGGAAGGGACACAGACCTGGAGCCAGGGAGCGGAATTGTCTCTGGAGAGGTGATGAGAAACACAGCGCAGGGGCAAGCTCGTCATTGCTCATGATTTCCCGCAAGCCCCGGCACCATCACATCAGAGGACCTAGCACTTTTTTTTTTCCTCCTATACGCTGTGGGATCAGTAGAAATTTTCCTGTGGATGATGGAGCTCCATGGGTCTGTGGACCTATCGTTTCATCCCATCATGCCCCGGCTCAGGTCCCCGCACAACCTGTGTGTGGAGAGAGAGCAGTGGCGTGGTCAGGGCGGAGGGCCTGGGGGACAGTTGAGAGGGATGTGGGCCGGCCCCTCAGCAGAGCAGGCTTTGAGACGGCCCTTTGTTCCGTGCCGTCGTTTGAAATATTGGCGGATGGAGGCTGTTTGCTGGGCGGCCCTCGCACCTGGGAGGCCCGGCCTCTGTGAGCCAGCAGGCTGCTCCGAGCAGTGGTGTCCGGACTTGGAATTCAGGCCTCTCTGCTTTTATCCACCTTATATGCTTAAGCTTTTTTTTTTTTTTGCAAGTAAGAATTTATTTGCAAAAAAAAAAAAGTGTTGCTGCTAAAATCATTGTTTTGGGTACGGTGGCCCAAACTGGTCAGCTTTTTCTTGGAGCCTGAGCAGAATTTGTGACTTCTTTGTGTGGTGGACAGAGCACCCTGGACTGTCCCCTGTGAGGGAGGGAGGCAGCTGGTGAAAGGAGGTCCCTGTGCTGCAGGCAGAACCTTGTAGTCTGTCTGAGGCTGGGACGCCCTGGCTCAGGTGGGGCGGAGACAACTATTGTACCTTCTGAAGGAGGAGCGGCACTGCTGACAGACTTTTTATTTTCCTTTATATTTTATGATTTTTTACAGAGAGGAAGGGAGAAGGAGAGAGGGTTAGAAACATGGACGAGAGAGAAACATCAATGAGCTGCCTCCTGCACACCCCCTGCTGGGGATGTGCCCGCAACCAAGGTACATGCCCTTGACCGGAATCGAACCTGGGACCTTCGAGTCTGCAGGCCGACGCTCTAACCACTGAGCCAGACTGGTCAGGGCCCAACAGACTTCTTTGGTGGAGTGTGAAGGGAGCAGACCTCCTAGCCCCGAGCCTTCCCCTTCCCTGGTGTGCTTTATGTCACTGTGGTAAGCGCAGGAAAGGCAGGGAGAGGGCCCAGTGGCAGGACCCTGCCTCAATCTCACCATTTCTCTCTTTCCTACAGAACCCGGCATCCGGGAAGGCAGAGCCTCCCTCCCTGGCATTGTGGGCACCTGCCTCCAAGAGCCCCCTGAGCCGCCGGCAGAGCCTTGTAGTCTGTCTGGGCGAATGACCTGGGCCATCTGACCGGTCCCTGCTCTGTGCCTTGTCCGAGGTCCTTGTCTGCCCCTGATCCCGGGGCACCTTCTCTCTCTGGGTTGGGTCATCTTAATCGGGGAAACTGAAGCCGCTACTGTCCAAGCCCTGCTTCATCTTCCCAAGCATGTCGGAGAGCTGGCAGCAGCCGCCGCAGACGCAGCCGCAGCAGCCGCAGCCCCCGCAGCCCCAGCACCACCCGGAGCCGCCGCCGGCCCTGGCGGAGCACTCGCTGCCGCCGGGCACGGCCGAGAACCCCCTGGGCTGCGCCGTCTATGGCATCCTCCTGCAGCCCGACCCGGGCCTGCAGCCCCCGCAGCACGAGCCCCTGCAGGCGGCCGGGGAGCCGGGCCCCAAGTGCGGGGTGTGCGGGCACGACCTGGCGCACCTGTCCAGCCCGCACGAGCACCAGTGCCTGGTGGGCCACGACCGCTCGTTCCAGTGCACGCAGTGCCTCAAGATCTTCCACCAGGCCACCGACCTGCTGGAGCACCAGTGCGTGCAGGTGGAGCAGAAGCCCTTCGTCTGCGGCGTCTGCAAGATGGGCTTCTCGCTGCTCACCTCGCTGGCCCAGCACCACAGCGCGCACAGCGGCGCGGGCGCCGGCGGCGGCCTGGTGAAGTGCTCCATCTGCGAGAAGACCTACAAGCCGGCCGAGGCGGCGGAGCCTGCGGCCACCGGGGCGGCGGCCCCCTCGCTGCCCCCGCCGCCGCCCCCGCCGCCCGCCGTGGTCCCCGCCGCCGCCGCCCCGGAGCAGGTGGACAAGCCCTACAGCTGCCCCGTGTGCCAGAAGCCCTTCAAGCACCTGTCGGAGCTGTCGCGGCACGAGCGCATCCACACGGGCGAGAAGCCCTACAAGTGCACGCTGTGCGACAAGAGCTTCAGCCAGTCGTCCCACCTGGTGCACCACAAGCGCACGCACAGCTCCGAGCGGCCCTACCGCTGCGCCGTGTGCGAGAAGACCTTCAAGCACCGCTCGCACCTGGTGCGCCACATGTACGCGCACTCGGGCGAGCACCACCTGTTCCGCTGCAACGTGTGCGAGCTGCACTTCAAGGAGTCGTCCGAGCTGCTGCAGCACCCGTGCACGCCCAGCGGCGAGCGGCCCTTCCGCTGCGGCGAGTGCCAGAAGGCCTTCAAGCGGCCCTCGGACCTGCGGCAGCACGAGCGCACGCACAGCGCCGAGCGGCCCTTCAAGTGCGACCTGTGCCCCATGGGCTTCAAGCAGCAGTACGCGCTCATGCGGCACCGGCGCACGCACAAGGCGGCCGCCGCCGCCGCTGCCGCCGCCGCCGCCGCCGCCGCCGCCGCGGAGGAGCCCTTCAAGTGCGGCCTGTGCGACAAGGGCTTCGGCCAGCCCGGCCACCTGCTCTACCACCAGCACGTGCACACCCTGGAGACCCTCTTCAAGTGCCCCGTGTGCCAGAAGGGCTTCGACCAGTCCGCCGAGCTGCTGCGGCACAAGTGCGCCCTGCCCGGCGCCCCCGAGCGGCCCTTCAAGTGCTCCGCGTGCAGCAAGGCCTACAAGCGGGCGTCGGCCCTGCAGAAGCACCAGCTGGCCCACTGCTCGCCGGCCGAGAAGCCCCTGCGCTGCACGCTGTGCGAGCGCCGCTTCTTCTCGTCCTCCGAGTTCGTGCAGCACCGCTGCGACCCGGCCCGCGACAAGCCGCTCAAGTGCCCGGACTGCGAGAAGCGCTTCAAGTACGCGTCCGACCTGCAGCGGCACCGGCGCGTGCACACGGGCGAGAAGCCCTACAAGTGCCCCAGCTGCGACAAGGCCTTCAAGCAGCGCGAGCACCTCAACAAGCACCAGGGCGTGCACGCCCGCGAGCAGCAGTTCAAGTGCGTGTGGTGCGGGGAGCGCTTCCTGGATGTGGCCCTGCTGCAGGAGCACAGCGCGCAGCACAGCGCCGCGGCCGCCGCCGCCGAGGGCGCCTACCAGGTGGCCGCCTGCCTGCCCTGAGCGCCCGTCTCCTGGTTCAGAGGCCCCTCTCCACCCACCTCCGCGCTCAGAGGCACTGGGCATGAGGTCAGGAGAGCGCCCAGCAGGTGGTGAGAGAGAGAGGCCTGGCACTTCTGGAACCCGCCCCGAGGCGGGGGGGGGGGGGAGGGGGGGGGAGCCAGACGGCCCTGCCAGGTCCCCGTCCTGCAAACCCGCTTTCTCACCAGAGGATTCGTCTTCTTGGGAGCCGTCAGCCTTCCTTGTCTCTGGGGGGCCTGGAACCCAGACTGGAAGTCAGGCGGCCTCTCTCCGCGCCGCCGAGGAGGGGTTAGCGCCAGCCCAACCTTCCCAAACCTTGTAGCCTGATTAGAAACCAGATGCTTAGGAAAGTGGACAGCCGCGGTGGGGCCTGGGCGGAGGGCTGGGTGTAGGGCACCCTCCTTCAGGGTGCTGTCTTGGGGAGAAGCCCGCGCGGCCTCGTGATTAGTCTTGGGAACCAGGAGGGCGCCCCATGAGCCCCAGGCCTCTCTGTCCGCACCAGCCAGGGGTTACTGACCGGGGAGATGGATAGGCGGGCTGCACACCTGTGGGCTGCGTCTGCCCGCAGGGCAATCGGCCTGGCCAGAGGGAGGAGGCTGAGAAGTCCTCCTCCAGGGAGGACACCCAGCCAGAGACCGTGCCCAGGACAGTGCCGTCCACAGGGAAAGGAGGAGGGGCAGGAGGTCTGATCCCGATATTTTAGAAGCCCCCCCACCGTCTGCGGCCTGGTTCCGAGCTCTGCTGGGGAGGGTGCTCTGCTGGGGAGGGTGATAGAGTCCCCCTCTATCACTGATGCCCCATGTGATAGAGGGGGACTGTTAGGCCACCTGGTGCCCGGCCACACCCATGATCTTCCCAGTGGTTGTGGACAGGTGTCCTCCCCCTTGAATTGCGTGAACCCAAGTGTCAAGGGCGTGGCCTCCATCAGCTCCGGGCCCTGCCGCAGGGCCCAGACCAGGCCTGTGGACCGAGGGCGGGCAGGTGAAAGGACTGTGCGGATGGCCAGCCCACGGGAACCCTCCCCCGTCGGGGACTGCAGGGATCTTGCATCGCCCAGACACCCCGGACGACATCCAGCCACTCCCAAGGCCAGCGAGTCCTCCCTCAGTTCTCCCTGCCTCTGGCTGCCCACATTGCGCATGGAGCCGAGGTGTGGGCAGAGGGAGCCGGCGGCGGGGAAGGGGTTAAGGAGATCAGTAGGTGGACGGAGTCCGCTGATGTCACTGGACGCAGGGGCCCTTGGGAAGCCCAGAGGACCTTTATGATGGAAATGATTGTTTAGGCCCCAGCTCTGCCCCCGCCTCTTCCAGCCCCTGCCCCCGTCCCTGGTCCTGGATCTTAAAAGGAGACTTTAATCAATGCACCACGGACCCAGAGGAGCAGGGAGCCCCGCCCCGTCCCCCCCACTGTCCCCTTAATACGTCTGAAAAGCACACCCACCTCCTCCATCTGTCCGGGTCCCCTTCCCGACAGTCTCAATGCCTCAAAAGACATTGAACCCAGGCTGACCACAGTCCCAACTGCTCCTTTTTTTTTCCTTTTCACGTTGCTTTCCAAAAGCTATCGTTATACTCTCCATAACATCGTCTCTTTTAATTTCATGTCGTTTGGGATCTTCTATAAAAATGTGAGCATTTGGATTTTTTCAAAAGAACGTCTCCATTTTAGATAGCCCCTTTTGATGTTAATATATAGCGAGTCCAATGTACGCTTTAGAAGTAAAGACATTGACCATCCCAGGCCACAGCGCTGCGTGTTCTGGTCGTTCTTCCTCGGGGGCGTGCTGGGGCGTGGATGGGGAGCAGAGAGGGTGCGGGCCAGGGTGGCAGGCTGGAGACTGGGACCCAGGCTGGGCTCGGATCCTGAGTTTTGAACCTTGCGGTTGTGTGACTGGGCAAGTCTCTGGAAACTCCCTGGCCGGGACTCATCTGTAGAATGGAGAGGCTAGCCCTTTTCCCTTGCTTGGCTGTTGTGAGCATTAAATGGAATCCTAGTGGGGGGGCCCCGGTGGGGGAGCCGTGAAGATGCTGACAGTACCAATGGCAGGCTGCCTGGGACCCTCAGACACGGCCCTGCAGCCCTGGATCCGAGGACTAGCAGATCGTGGATGGTTGGAAGCTGCTTGCTCAGTGCCCAGTGGAAAACCAGCGCCTGCCTAGAGCAGCGATGAACCCAAGGGATGCCTGCTCTCACCCGCTTCCACTTGCCCTGGGATCCGTCTGCATGGCCGACCCAGCCCTCCTACCTACACCCCTTTTCTCCTGTACCCCAGCCCTGAATCCCAGCGGCCCAACTCCAGCTCAAGCTTCTTCCATTTCTCAAAGGCAGGGGTGGGGGAGGGGAGAGAGAGGGAGAAACAGCCTTCCCGGGTCAGGCATCTAAGGGCCAGGGGAGGGTGGTCAGCAAAGACACGCTGGCCCGGGGGTGGGGGTGGGAGTTGAGGCTGGAAAATCAAGAAGACGGGGAGCTGCCCACAATGCAGGGGCTCAAAAATGAGCACAGAGGGCTTAGTGGGAAGGCTGGGGGGGGGACCCCAGATAGGACCCGGACCTCACGCTTTTATTTCCTCTGTGTGTAGCCACAGGAGGACCCGCCCCTGAGCAGGAGGAACCTCTCTGCAGGCGGCCACCACTCAGCAGGAGGACGCCCGGTCCTTTGTGCCTGTGCCAGGCTCGGGCCCAGCTTCCCTTCCAGCTGCATGCCCCCAGGCAAGCCCCACCCACCCCACGGAGATGCCTGGGAAGCACTGGCTTGGGCCTGCTGACTTACAGCCTCAGGTGCCCTGCCCGAGCGGCGGACGGTCTGCGCGCAGCAGAGGTAGGAGCAGCCCTGGCTGGGAATGACTGGCTGAGCCCACGTGGAGCCTGCAGTGACTTTTCCTTCCTTTGTCACCACCCCAGTGATTGGATAGAGTGTCGGCCTGCAGCCTGGGACCCTCCCTCCAGTCCTCTCCCTCTTCTCCCTCCTTCACAAACCACTGAGGTGGGCGCCTAGAGCTCTGACCTGGCCCTCAGCCTCTGTGCTCCAGCTGGGCCCAACCGGGGCTGTGAGTGAAGCCTGGAGGCTGTTTCCAGTCCCAGCCCTCTGATAACAAGGGCACGCGGCCTCTCTCTGCCCCTCTCGGGGCCTTCATTCTCCCTCTGAAGCAGCCAGAGGTCTCGACCCCTGATCTCCAAAGGCCCTTAGGACCCGAGGCTCTGATTCTGGGGAGGTGACAGGATCGATCCATCTCTCCTCCTCCCTCCGCGTCTCTCCTGGCCTCCCACCTGCCGCCCTCCTGCCTCCGTCTGCGTTCTCTCGGTTGTCAGTGGCAGGAACGGCACAGACGGGCTCACGCAGCTGCGCCACGCACCTGGCCACGCACGCGCAGATGCCTCTCTCCCCTGTCCTGTGTCTGAGGTGACTCTCCTTCTCTTAGAGCAGGGGTGGGGAATGTCCGGCCCGAGGGCCATAGAAGGCCAGGGAAACCCCGTGCAGTCTGGCCCTGCCAAAGCAACTGCAGGCGGGACTCAAAATGCAACAAATCGAGGTGGTTTCTTTCACAGCAACGTAAATTTCTACGAAGCGAATGACATTAAGCAGATGGTGATATAAATATCCAGATGGCCCTCGGCAGAAGCAAGGCTCCCCACCCGTCTTAGAGCGTGGCATTCTCACAGGGGGAGTCAGACGTTGTGGCCGGGGTGGCAGCCCCGTGCTGTCTTCCAGGCTCCGGGTGATCACCCCCTTTGCCCCAGCCACTGACAGTATGGCAAGAGGGTGGTACCTTGTGGGGGTGTGTGGGTGACATCCGGATGCCAGCCAGAGCTGGGAGGAGCGAGAGGGGAGGCCGACGGAAACTCTCCCTTTTGGAGTTAGTAATTCCCGCTGGCTGGGGGGAGGGCACTGCCCTGGTGAGGGTGGGGGCATTCTCCCAGGGTCCACAGGTCATCGCCGGGGTGGGCAGGGCCACCAAAGACAACTTCCCCAGGAAGCCATCATGCTGGCAGCTCTGTCAAACGCCCACCGTGTGGCTGGCTCTGTGCTCGGCCTGGCAGGGGACAGTGGGAGGGGACCCTGTGCTCGTGAACTGTAGCGGCGTGATGGAGTGTGCGCAGTCACAGCTGGCTAGCGTCCCGCCGCTGTCACTCATGTGGCAGGTTGTTGACTTTCTGACCTCATTCTCCTTACCTGTGAAATGGGGCCAGTACTGCTCTCCCCTGGCTTAGGGCGAGGGCATGGAGAGGTGACCTGTGAGCGGTGTTTGGCACGTAGTGGGGGGTGAGGGGGCAGAGGAGGGAGGGGGCTGGCCTGGCTCTACCATCTGAATGCCAGGGGTGTCCCACTCCCCTCCACACCCTGTTCCCAAGACCTGTCCCATCCCCCAGCTGACCTGAGCCCCAAGCCATCCCCCTGAGATGGGAGGGCAGACCCTTGAGATGTGCGGGGCTGCCCAAGGCCATGCAGTTAGTGATAAGGAGCCTGGCACTGTGGGCGCTGGCCAGATGGGTCTGGGACCTCACAGGCTCCAGCTCCAGCCACTGGCGCCCGGGGCGCCGGCTCCCCCCACTGCAGCTGACCAGGAAGCCGGGACAATGGCCGGGACTGGAGCTGGCACTGGGTCTGGCCAGGGGAGCAGGGGAGCTCTTTCCCAGCAGGCAGCGGGGGCGGCCAGCCCTCTGCTTCCTCAGAGGCCCAAGCCACTGGGCTCCGTCCTCCCATCTGTGCAGAGCAGCTTTAGAAAGAGCCCGGGCCTCCGCAGGCACCTGGTGCAGGGCCTTCTCGGGTCTCCAGTCCTCCCTCCTGACCTCTCAGCCCCCTGCTCCCCCTCCCCCCTTCAGAGGGGGCCTCAGACAGGACAGGGCCTCCCAGCCTGGGCCAGGCTCCCTGTGATAAGCTGCCACCCTCACACTGGCGGGTTTCTTTGTTCCTTGAAGGTCATGCCTCCAGGAAAAGCCTGACCTTCCGCAGATTCACAGATTCCGGCTGGAATGCCTGGGGCCCCGGGAGAAGGTGGAAGGTGGGGGGAGGGCTGTGGTCTCCCTGTCACTGAAGGCCTCCGTCCATCCCCGCCCGGCTGCCTTTGCTCACCTGCCAGCACTGGGAGCCCACAACGTTTGCTCACACGGTCTGTCACTGGCGGGGCCTGTGGGGCAGGAAGCTGGCTCCTCTGAGGGGCCTGGGGCAGCATCTTACTTCTCTCAGCTGTGTTGGCTGTACCGCAGCAAAGAGCCCCCAGGCCTGGCCAGTCCTCGGAGCTGGCCACCACCTCTCCCCCCCCCGCCCCCTCCCCCGCCCCTCTCCCCTTCCCCCCTACACTGTATGGTGTCTGAAAAAATCCCCTTTGAACCTCCTCTTTTCTCTTTAGGGCTCAAGTTCCCAGTCTGAGGCTGAGGGGACTTGCTTGTGGGGCCATAAGCAAGGGACAGGGGCACAAGGAAACCCCAATTCTCTGCCTGTTGCTGCATCTCACCCCCAGCTGGGCCTTGGGGTGTAGTTCCTGATTTTTTCTCGGGATCACCAGACTTTTTCCGTCCCCCCTACCTCCCCCCCCCCCCCCCCCCCCAGTCCTGCAGGAGTCAGGAGGAGCAGGAAAGGGTAAAATATTGTATTCTGCAGGTCCTGGCCACTCCCAGCTCCTGCCACACACACACACAGAGGCACACACACACACACACACACACACACACACAGAGGCACACACACAGACATAGGCACACACACAGATACACACATGTACACACACACGTACACAGACACAGGCACACACACACACAGAGGCACACACAGAGACACATGTGCACACACATATGCACACACATGCGCACACACACACAGGATATGAGCCCGCTGCCTCCCCATGGGAGCATTAAGTTTATTTCCAGTGAGGATGGGGTCATGGGGGCTGTCCAGCTGGGAACTGAGGTGGCATGGTCCAGCAGCCTGGGCAATGGCCTCCTCTTCACAGACTAATGCCAGGGGATCAGGTAGTTGACACGACTGTGGAGAGAAACAGGGGTGAGGTGGGCGCCTCCGGGGTATCCTGGGGGAAAATCAGGATATCCACCCCCGTCCTTAACGCTCTGAAAACACAGCTTCCGCCCTGTCTGTCTGTGGCTCAAGGACCTTCCATGGCTCCCTAGTTCCCTTGTTATATTTCCAGTTGTTCTGCCTGATGTCCAAGCCCCCTCCCTTCAGGTTTGCCTCACCTTTATCTCCCACTCCCCCCCAGCCATGCACCAAATTACTCACTTTCATCCCTTAGGGAACTGCACGGGCAGGGTTACATGTCAGTAACTGAATCACACGTGCCCCTGGGTGTGCACCCCAGCTCCCACCAGCTCTGCATGCCGGAGGGTGGCCCTGACCCTCTCCATCACGAGTCTTATATCTGCCTGCTCTCTGCCCCTGTGTCCTCTCAGGCAGCCCTCCCTGCACCGCCAGGGGCACAGTGGGGGGACAGAGAGCTTGTCCCCTCTCCCCCCCACCCCCGTGGGCTGCGCTGTCGCCTGGGCGGGGCCACTCTCTCTGACGTGGTGGGGGCTCCCTGTCCCTCAGGGCCTCCCTCACCAGGAGCCCAGGTGGAGGGAGGAAAGGCAGGTGCGGGGCGGGGCGGGCGGCCACCTACCTGTACTTGGAGCCGAATTGCCGGTACACATTCCTGCAGGAGAGGGAGGAGGGTGAACGGGGTGGGGAGGCGCATTCCCATCTTAGGGAGCCTCACTCCCAGAAACCCAGCTCCCACCCCGGAGCCTCCAGCCCCCAGAAGGATTTTGCCCACCCGAGAGGGCGAGGTTGCCAGGGGGCTCCATTGGGCAGAAGTTCAACAGTTATTCGTTTTGAAATTGCGATTTCCTTGCGGTGTATTGGAGCCATCCAGTTTTCCCTCGTCCCACAGGGGTCCGGGGTGGGGAAGGGGGGGTGGGGTGGGCTATGGCCTCACTTACAGGGAATCGAAAGGCAGGGGCTTCTGTCCGTAGCGGTCCAGGCTGGGGTTCTGGTTGAGACAGTACTGGGGCAGGCCGGAGGGATGGGGGCAGCCCGTGAGCCGGGAGACACCCACCCCCCAACCCCACCCGTGCATGCCCCACACAGCGCTCTGGGCGGGAGATTTTGGCCCTGAGGCCTGGGAGACCCCCCTCTGCCCACGCCCCATCCCGGGCTAGCCGCTCCTCCCTCCCCCGTGCCGGGCCCCCAGGGACGGGCCAGCGCAGCCCTCCCTACCCGCCAGTTCTGCGTCAGCTCCGGCTTCAGGTAGCGCACCGCGTAGCCGCTGAAACTCTCCACTGCGGAGAGAGCGCCATCTCCCGTCCCCAGCACACCGGAGCAAGTCCCGCCCCGAACCAAGCCCCGCCCTTCTCACACCTGAGCCCCGCCCCTGGACCAAGCCCCGCCCACCCACACCTGCTCCTAGAACGATCCCGCCCTCTCTCTCACCTGGGCCCCGCCCCTGGGCCAAGCCCCGCCCCTCTCACACCTGAGCCCCGCCCCTGGACCAAGCCCCGCCCACACCTGCTCCTATTATAGAACCAGTCCCGCCCTCTCTCTCACCTGAGCCCCGCCCCTGGGTCAAGCCCCGCCCCTCTCACACCTGAGCCTTGCCCCCAGGCCAAGCCCCGCCCACACCTGCTCCTAGAACCAGTCCCGCCCTCTCTCTCACCTGAGCCCCGCCCCCAGACCAAGCCCCGCCCACACCGGCTCCTAGAACCGGCCCCGCCCTCTCTCTCACCTGAACCTGGAGCCTGTCCCGCCTCCACTGAGTGGTGGGAACAAGCCCCCCTCCAGACCCTGCTTCTCGGGTCGCTGAACCCAACCTGGGCTCAGCCTCAGCCCCAAAGGCTCCTGGCCCGGACCTGGCTCCACCCTGTCCCTAAAAGGAACCTCGCTTCCATATCCCTCAATCCGTCCCAACCCTTCCCTCTCTCCGTCCCCCACTGCTCCCCAGCTTCCCCGCCCTGTCCTTGCTGGAGCGCCCCTTTCCCCTCCGCCCCATCCCTCTGTCCCCTGTCCGTGGTCAGCGCTGCGGGTCCCAGACTCCCGCCCCAGGGCATCCTCCGCGCCCGGGAGACTCACCCCTCTTGCTCGGGCAGGGCAGCCTGAACTCGCCGGTAGACGACACGAAGCGGGACCAGTCCTCGATGGCGCGGGTGAACCTGGGCCAGCTGGCTTGGTTGATGCCCGGAGCGATGGGCGCCAGTTTCCCCTCGCGGCTCCTGTGGCGGATCTTCTGGCCGGTGGCGGTGATGTCCTGCCCGGGCGATGGGAGTCAGGGCCCCGGGGGCAGAGACAGAAGCCTGGGAGGCCCGTGCAAACTGCCCTGGAGGGCGGAGCTGACCGAGGGCCGCCTGCAGCCCCTGATGGAGATGGGAAGGGGACCAGGGTCCCCCCGCGGCAGCCGAGGAAGTACACCGAGGAGAGCCCAAGAGCAGAGGTGCCTGGGGCTGGGTGCAGGCCTGGCCTTCCTTCCTTTCCCCTGAGCAAACCCAGGGCCAGGGCAGAGGACACCCACTCACCAAGCACTGCAGGGGCTTGTTGGGGACACCGAGGAGTGTGTACTGTGCGTTGTCAAAGTCGTCTGAAGAAGGAAGAGAAAGGCAGAGGGGATGTCTCCTGCACAGCAGTCACGCCCCCCCCCCCCCCCCCCCAGAAGAGGTTTGCCCCACACTGCTTATAATTTCTTTTTGGGGAAAATATTTGACAACTTTAAGAAAACTAAGATAAAGTGGATTTTTACTTAATATGGCTTACAACAGAATAAACGCCAAGAGATCAAATATTTTAATATTAAGAAAACAGAAACTATAGAAGTACTAGAAGAAAACATGGGTAGCCCTGGCCAGTGTGGCTCAGTTGGTTGGGTATCATCCCATGCACGGGAAGGTTGCTGGTTTGATCCCCGGTAGAGGGCATGCAAGAGGCAGCTGATTGATGCCCCCCCCCACCCCCTTCTCCTCTCCGTCCCTCTCAAAAAAAAAAAAAAAAATCAATTACAAATAATCTTTAGAAAAAAAGAAAAGAAAGAAAACATGGGTAAATTTCTTCCTAATCTTGGGGTGGGGAAGGCCGTCCCAACTCTAAATCTGGGAGCCTTAAAGAAAAAGTTGGTAACTTTGGCTCCATAACAATAGACCTCTGCATTGCAAAAACAACACGAGAAGTCAAAAGACAAACGGAAAAACTATTTCCACTTGTTCTCCAGGTGGAGAAGGGTTGGGCAGAAGTTGTTATTAGTGCTTATTATTTTTTTAAAAAAATTCCTGCTGCTGCATCTACTGACCTCTGCACAGCTGTTCTCCATGAATAATAATAACATCTGCATCAATAGGCTCCATCTGTTAAGACCTGTTAGGTGCCAGGCACTAGTCTAATTACTTTTCCCGCCTTTTCTCGTTTGAGCCTCACACTCGGCCTTGGGAGGCAGGTCCCATCCTCATCCCCATTTTACTGATAAAGAAACTGAGGCTCAGGTCTTGTGAGGTCTCCTGGGTAGGGAGTAGCAGCGCTGGGCCTAGCCCCTTGGATGCTTCCACCTGCCACTCATGGCCTCGCATCCCCGGATCTCTCTCCTCCGAGCCATCCAGCCCTTTGCCAAAGGCCCTCTGACCTTTGCGGCAGTAGGTGGTGGTCTGGCAGTGCTCGTCCGACAGGCAGGCCCTGGCAGAGTCCATGTCCATGCGGCGCAGGGTGGGCAGGGCCGGGTGGTAGAGCTGGTGCTTCACGCTGGCCAGCTGGTTTCTCCGCCGCTCCATGGGGAGCAGGACGGCGGGGGACGCGTACAGGTGGGTGGTGCCATTGTCCCAGGGCACCAGGTCGATGATGCGGGCCATCGCTGGGGAACAAAGAGTCCAAAGGGGTTCACCCTGGGCTCGGGTCAGCCAGACACCCTTCCACATCGGAACACCACCTTGGCCCGTGCTGATGCGTCTCTGGCCCGGCATTTATTGAGCACCTACTGTATGCCAGAACTTAATTTTATTTTTTTCATGAGCTCCCAAGGGGTGGCAGGGACAGTCAGACAACATGGCACACACACACACACGGGATGTGCTAGGGGCTCTGACAGGGTCAGGACAAGGGTGTGTGTGTCTGGGGAGGCTGGTGTTGGGGCATTCGGGGAATGGTCTAGAGGAGGTGGCATTTGAGTCTATTCTTAAATAACGAGCAGGAAGCGGCAGCAGCAACTGGGTTCAGATTTAGCTCGGAACGGGAACTAATTATGGACTTCTGGCCTTCGCTAAGGCCTCTGGCATTTACTCAAAATTCTGCAGGGAGACACGTGCATTTTAAAAGAAGGGGAGAGACAAGATACGAATGAGGGAGACATTCCTGCCAGGGCAGTGCCTCCCTTTAAAAAGCAGGTAGCCGAAACCGATTTGGCTCAGTGGATAGAGCGTCGGCCTGCGGACTGAAAGGTCCCGGGTTCGATTCCGGTCAAAGGCATGCACCTTGGTTGCAGGCACATCCCTAGTAAGGGGTGTGCAAGAGGCAGCTGATTGATGATTCTCTCTCATCAATGTTTCTAACTCTCTATCCCTGTCTGTAAAAAAATCAATAAAATATATTTAAAAAGAATTAAAAAATAAAAAGCAGGTAGTCCCAGGAGCCATTCTGCCTTTTCAAATCTAGTGAGGATTTGCTGACTTAGCTCATTTCCTTCCCACACCCCCGCTAGAGGCCAGAGACGGAGGAGGGTGGGAGGTGGGCAGGAGGCGAAGACGTAGGGCCATGGAAGAGCAGGGAGAGGGCACAGGGGATGGACGGGCTTGCAGGGGGAGGGACAGGGAGTGGAGCAGGGAAGGGAGACTACCTGATCTGCAGGCCTCAGGCCCCAGGTGGTCAGGCTTATAGGGATTTTCTCTTCTTCCAGCTGCTCAGGCGGGGAAGAGGCAGGGACATGGGCCAGGCCCAGTGCCTTATAAGACACTTTATCCAGGAGGGCAAAGAATGTTCTGCATAGACAATGCCCATTGCAACCTGATTGTGAGGGCACCCACTCCTTGGCAACCCTGGCAACCGCAGGCTCTGGGAAGAAGGGCCTGCAGCCAGGGGTCCTCTGTTCCTCCCTCCCGTCCCTGCCCACCCCTCTATCTCAGCCTTCCTGAAGGCTGCTGTCCCCTGGGCCACAGCACAGGCCAGGCATGTTGGGAAATGTCAGACAGGGAGCCGGGCTCCCTGGGGAGGGCCGTGCCAGGGCTGGCCAGGGCAGGCTGTGTGATCCTGGATTAGTTACTGTCTCTCTCTGGGCCTCAAGGCTCCTGTCTGTGTTAAGCAAGGGCCCCAGGCCCTGCCATGAGGGGTGTCTGGGGTCTGGGAGGGTCCTCCCTCCCTGTAAACCTCAGGGAAGAGGGCACTGTCCTCCCTGCCAGCCACTGGGGCTCCAGAGGTGGAGATTAGTGGCGGCCAGTGTCCAGGGTCAGCATAAGGGGATCAGGGAGAGTGGTGGCCTCAGCAGAACGGAGATTAGCAGGTGATATATCATCCCCAGCCCCCTGCAGCCTCCCTCCCTCCCTCCTTCCCAGAAAGCAAGGTCACGAGTGCCCAAGCCCAGGACCCCGAAGCTCTGGGGCCGGTTACCACCTTGGTCACAATCAGCGAGAGAGACCCTCAGGCAAGGGGCCCCTGGGAGAGCCTGAGCTATTTGCATATATTGGCATGTACTTTGCATATGCCTGCCTGGGTGCTGAGCCTGTGAGTACACATAGGATTAGGCACTATGAATGGAATCGAACCTGGGACTTTTCAGTCTGCAGACCTATCCACTCTATCCACTGCGCCAAACCAGTCAGGGCTCCATGAGAGACTCTTGAGAATGCAAAAGAAACGGATATATGTGCTATCATGTGGATGATCCTCAAAAACATCATGCTAAGAACATTATGAAAGAAATCACACACAAAAACACTCCACAGATTGAGTGATCGATTTATATGAAATTAGAGGCCCAGTGCACGAATTCGTGCACAGGTGGGGTCCTGTGGCCTGGCTGGCAATTGGGGCTGATTGGGGCCGATTGGGGCAGGCCAACCAGGGGGAGGGACCAGGAGAGGCTGGCCAGCTGCAGGAGGTTGGCGGTGGGAGCACACTGACCACCAGGGGGCAGCTCCTGCCTTGAGCATCTGTCCCCTGGTGGTCAGTGCAGGTCATAGCTACCAGCCGGGTGTCCGGTCACTTAGGCTTTTATATCTATAGATGTGCATGAAAGGCAAAGCCTGGGAGACAGAAGGCAGATTAGTGGTTGCCTGGGGCTGGGGCGGGACAGGAAGTGACATGAGGGATCTCGTGGGGGTGGGGTGGGTGGGTAATGGGAATGTGCTAAAACTAGAGGGTGCTCATTTCCTAGCTCGGGCATGTTACTCAAGCTCATCGTACACGGAAACGGGTGAAATTTATGGCATGTAAATTATACCCCTTAAAGTGGCCCTGAAAAATAAATGCTAACTAAAGAAAGCAAAAGACAGAGCCTAGAAGCTTCCAGTACCTCTTCCAAGTCACAGCCCCAACTTCCTACAAGTGGTAATTCGTTTTCCTGCTGCATAGTTTAACCATGACTTATCTTTTTAAAAAATATATTTTATTGATTTTTTACAGACAGGAAGGGAAAGGGATAGAGAGTTAGAAACATCGATGAGAGAAACATCGATCAGCCACCTCTTGCACACATACTCCCTACTGGGGATGTGCCCGCAACCAAGGTACATGCCCTTGACTGGAATCGAATCTGGGACCCTTCAGTCCATAGGCTGATACTCTATCCACTGAGCCAAACTGGTCAAGGCACCATGGCTTGTCTTTACCTATGTTCGCAGCCACAAACAAGACAGGCTAACGTGGCCCATCAAGCCCCCTGTAAGATTTTCTTGTCTTGGGTTACAGGCCTACATGACATGCCGGGGCCTGATCTCCTGCCACCCTCCCTACACCCACTGAGCCCCCAGCCCCTGGCCTCTGGCCCCTGCCTGCTCAGGTGCATCCAAGCTCATTCCAGTCACAGGACCTTGATCTTGGCAGTACCCTCTGCCTGGACCACCTTCACTCAGATCTTGCTTTTCCTGTCTCAGCTCAAATGTCTACTTCTTCACAGACACCTGCCAGCCCCTACTCCCCACCCTGTTTGCTTCCTTCATGGGAATCAGCAACATTTGCAATATTTCTTTTGTAAAAATATGTTTTTATTGATTTTTTTTTTTTTTTAGAGACCGAGAGGAAGGGAGAGGGAAAGAGAAAGAGAGAGAGAGAAAGAGAAACATTGATGAGGGAGGAACATCATCGATCAGCTGCCTCATGTACACCTCCTGCTGGGGATCGCGCCCACAACCTGGGCATGTGCCCTGACCGGGAATTGAACCGTGATCTCCTGGTTCATAGGTCCACACTCAACCACTGAGCCACGCCAGCTGGGCTACAATATTTCTTTACTTGTCCTTCATCTGTTGTACTTCTGTCCCCTCCGTTGAATAGAAGCTTCAGGAGGGCAGGCCTGTTCAATGTGCCGAGGTTGGCACGCAGAGGGGCACACAGGAAGAGCTGGAGAAATACGGTGGATGATCATGTTAGGTTCCCATCCCTTCGCTGAACATCCTGCTACCCCTCCGCCCGTCCAGGCCCTGCCGCCTCCCTGCGTCCCTCTTTACTGGGCCTCTGTCCCTCTTGTCCGCCTCCCCGAGATCTCTGTCTCCCCTCGAGGGCCCCACCTCAGGTCAGGGGGCCAGCTCCCCCCCGTCAGTCACCCAGCAGTCCTTGGTTCCTTCCTAAAGGCCTGGCCCTGAGACCAGAGTGCTGCCCAGGATTCAAGGATTCTGGACCAGAAAGAATCTTCCTGACTTCAGCCTTGGGGCTGGAGGTCTGGGGATCTGGGGTAATGACTGAGAGTGTACAAGCTCCTGCCACTTTAAGGAGTCTCCCAGGATCACCTGGGGACCCCAAGCTGTCATTCTCCGACCAGCCACTGTGCAGCTTGGCCAAGGTATGTGGGGAGCCAGGCCCCTGGACCCCTCCCCGCCCAGGCTCCCAAACCTGTCTCTTCCCCCGCCTCGCAAAGCTCCTTGCATGGACCCCAGGTCCCTGCTGGCCTCTAGGGGGCTGCTAGGGTTGGCATCCACCTCCTCCTTTCCCAGCTCCCATTTGGCACCTGTTAATCCTTTGCACACGGCCCGCCCTGTGCTGTTAATCAAGGGCCCTCCTGCCCGGTGCTGTCCATTAATCCCTGTCTGAGAGGGCGGCTGTGAGTGGTGGGGAGAAGGCACTTCCTGGCTGGTGGCCGGCCTCGGAGCAGGTACCTGGGGGTGAGGTGGCGGTGGGCCTGCTGGTGGGATCCCCATGCTCTCCTGCTAGCAAGGCCTTTAGACACGGAGAACCGGGCAAGGCTGGGAACCAGGGCTACCCTCCCCCCGCCTCTCCCTCTCTTCCAGTGAGCCTCAAACAGTGTGCATCTGGCTCCCAGGGCAGCCTGTGAAATGCAGATTCTAGGCCCACAGAGGACTTGGGGGCCTAGGAATCCACATTTCTGCCAGCTCCTCACCAGATTCTGAAAGGCTGGTAGGAAGGAGACCCTGAGAGGGCCAGCCCAGGACTGTGGTCGGCAAACCGCGGCTCGCGAGCCACATGCGGCTCTTTGACCCCTTGAGTGTGGCTCTTCCACAAAACACCACGGCCTGGGCGAGTCTATGTTGAAGACGTGGCGCTAGAAGAAGTTTAAGTTTTAAAAATGTGACTCTCAAAGGAAATTTCAAATAGTTGTACTGTTGATATTTGGCTCTGTGGACTCATGAGTTTGCTGACCACTGGCCCAGGACAACAGCCACTACCTCTACCTCCCCCCACCCCACCCTCTCAGCAGAGACATGGATGCCTGGAGGGGTCATGGTGGCCCAAGGTCACTCTTTCGGAGGCTGAGCCTCTCACAGGGGAGGCTGGCTGCGGAGGCCGGGTGGGGACAGAAGTCAGGGCTGTGAGCAGGAGGAGGCAGCATGGCCCCAGGCCTCAGGGAGCGGGGCCCTGGGGCAGGGATCCTGGGCCTGGGCCTGCCCTGTCAGCCTGGGGCTGGGGTCCTTGGTGGAGCAGGGACAGAGGAGCCCTCTGCCAACACCTGGCTGCCCAGGGCGGGGGCGGGCACACCGGCTGGGCATTGCCTGGAATGGCCCATTCTGGGCTGGGAGTTCGCACAGCATGACCGATGTGGTGCCCCTGGGCCGGGCCCTCCTGCAGGGATCTGATCTCGAGGGAGGGGGCTCCCCGTCCCCGAAGGTAAGTGACACCAGAAACTGAACCCCTAGAAGGCTGACCTCTCACAGTGAACCGTGCAAGAGGGGCCTCGCCGGCATTTTACTGTAAAACATTGAAGTCAGGAAAATAGGCTAGTTTTGTCTGTATTCAAACGGACTCCCCGCCGAAACCGGTGTGGCTCAGTGGTTAGAGCGTTGGCCTGAGGACTGAAAGGTCCCAGGTTCGATTCCGGTCAAGGGCATGTACCTTGGTTGCGGGCACATCCCCAGTGGGAGGTGTGCAAGAGGCAGCTGATCGATGATTCTCTCTCATCGATGTTTCTAACTCTCTATCCCTCTCTCTTCCTCTCTGTGAAAAAAAAAATCAGTAAAATATATTAAAAAAAAAACACCCAGAAAACAAACAAACAAAAAAAAACCACACACGGATTCTTCACTTACATATTGGAATGTATTTATAAAAATTTGCTAGGGGAGTATGCTGAACGCGATCTTCCACAACAAGCATTTTTACTCCAAACAACAGTCACAGCCGTTTATTAAGCTTCCAGTGTGTGCCACTCGCTGCTCTAACCAGTTTATTTCATCCTTACACTCGCCCCGTACAAAGCAGGCGCTTCTATCCCATTTTACAGGCAAGCAAACTGAGGTACGATGTGTTTCGCTCATTTGCTCACGGCTAGAGCATGTAAAACTTCCCAGGTTAGTTCAGCCAGATCCACAACATTCCGTTATTGGACAGAGTGTAATTCATTCAACACGCGCCCCTCTTACAGGGGAACATTGAGGTATTTTCCCATAACCAGTCCCCTGCGGCGGGATATTTGAATTTTTTCATCTTTTGCTGTAACACTGTTGTGATCAGCCTCTTTCTACACATGTGCTTGTGGGCCTGACTATTGCTACGTGGCGATACAATTGCAAACGCGTTCTAAAAGATGGGAGGAAAGGGAAATGGTGACCCCCAGAAGTGGCCCCCACGTGGTGGGGGGCCTGAGGACGCTGTGCTCTCCAGGTGCCAGGATGTTGGGCTGGGTCCAGAGGGTGCTGCCTCAGCCCCCAGGGGCCCCTCAGAAGACCAGGATGGAGGAGGAGGAGGAGAAGGAGGCAGAACCAGAACCAGAGCCAGAGCCAGAGCCTGGCCTGGAGGCGGAGCTGGAACCAGCACCAGAGCCTGACCCAGCCCCCCAGGAGGCCAAGCTGGTAAGAAGGGAGGGTGAGGGGGGACCTGGTCCATAGTAAAGAGTTCAGGCTTTGCAGGTCACGCCATCTCTGTCCATTACTTAACTCTGCCACGGACGGACGCGTGAAAACAGCCACCGGCCATATGGAAACAAATGAGCATGGTTGTGTTCCAATAAAACTTTATTTACAAAATGCGCAGAGGCTGGATTGGGCCCTCGGGCGTTGTTTGCCCGCCTCTGGAGCAGCGGTCCTCAGCCTTGCTAATGTGGCGACCCGCAGGTGGAGAACCGCCAGCAGGGTGGCCTGAGACCATCGGGAAACACAGACATTCACATTACGATTCATAACAGCAGCCACATCACAGCTACGAAGTAGCAACGAAAATAATTTTATGGTGGGGGGTCACCACCACATGAGGAGCTGTGTGAGAGGGTCGTGGCATTAGAATAGAGCTGTCAAACATGCATGCGTGCTCGTGTATGTCTGTGCCTGTATGTAAGTGCGTGCACGTGAGAGTGAGTGTGGCTGTGTCTGCGTTTGCTGCACACGCACGTAAGTGCATGAAGCTGCAGGAGGTGCTGCTGCAGAGGCCGACGAGGGGCAGGGGGCAGGGGCCGGCTCCCCCCGGGCTGCTGGAGGGGGTGGAAGGCTTGGCCCAGAAGGAGAGGGAGAGCCTGACTGGGGCTTGGGCGGGGGGGTGGGGGGGGGGAAGGGGTGCTCCTCTCACCTCCCTCTTCCCCTCCAAGGCTACGCAGCTCTCTAACATCGCCTCTTCCCAGGCCGCTGACATGGGGCAGCTCCCTGGGTAGCTTCTTGGGGACCTGGGGGTGTGTGAGGGCCCCACCCTGAATGAGGGGCCCTTGGGGCTGGAGGAAGGGCGTGTCCTGGGGGAAGGGGAGGCCGCCAGGGTTTACAGAGACGATTATGAGAACAGAGTTGTTTGGTCCCGTGGGAGGTGGGAGGTGGGAGGGTCCCTTACGGGTGGGTCAGGGACTGCCCTGCCGGAACCGGACTGGCCTCTCGAGGGCTCACATGGTCCTCTCTGAACCCCCAGCCCCCCGTGGAGCTGTCGGGAGGGGAGGACGGAGCTGTGGCCGCCCCAGGGCCTCAGGGTGAGTGCTGCCGCCCCGGATGGCAGGGACGGGCTGTGTTCTCTCCTCTGCCTGCAGAAGAGCCAGAGGCTGGCATTCCGGCTTCAGGGAGGCTCACAGAAGGGAGGGGTGGGCTCCTGGGCACTTCGTGGCTGAACTGAGCTGGAATCCCAGCCTCCTGACCTGCTTGGGGCTCTCCCCTCTCCCCTGCCTCTGACTTGACCTCCCAAACAGGGTAGAAATGGGCTCTCCAAGGCTCCAGTGTGGGAGACTTGCCAGGCCGGTGTGGCTCAGTGGTTGAGCATCGACCTACGAACCAGGAGGTCACGGTTCGGTTCCCGGTCAGGGCACATGCCCGGTTTGTGGGATCGATCCCCAGTGTGGGGTGTGCGGGAGGCAACTGATCGATGATTCCCTCCCTCGTCAGGGATGTTTCTATCTCTCCCTCTCCCTTCCTCTCTGAAACCAATAAAAAGTATATTAAAAAATGTATATGAAATGTGAGGCCTCTTTTTCCAGAGACCCAGAAAGCCGTCCCAGCTCCGCCCTCAGCCCTCCAGGCCTGGGTGGCTGTGGACCCCGGAGTGAACAGGTACTGTACCCCGTCCCCCTCCTGGGGGCTGGCCTCCCACCCCAGCTAGGGAGCCATTGGGGTGGGGCCCCACCCACACTGTTCTCTGATCCACGGTCACTCCCAGGCCAAATGTGGGGCATTTGGGGAAGAAATGGGTGGGTGGTGGTCTCTAGCCAAATGGGTGGGTGGTGATCTCTAGCCAAAATGGGCCACACGACCAAGAGAAGTGAGGGTGGGGCTCTCGGTGCCAGAGGGAAGTGGCCAGAACTTCCAGCTTTTCCATAAAATCCCTGCTCAGCTCACACATTATCCGGGGCAGTGAGCCCAGGACCCTCAGAGCTAGCATGACCAGCCTCGGCCACAAGGAAACGACCCTCCCCTTCCCCTCCCCACCCCCAAACCCTCCATCCTCTGGAGGCAGGATGTGTGCCAAGTGCAAGGCGGGGAGCCCTGAGCCAGGCCAGGGGGAGGCGGGATGATGGCGAGAGCTGGCTGCTCTCGAGCATGGGTTCCGGATGGCACAGGGCACATCCAACTCACAAAGACTTGGTGCCCCCACTTCCTGAGGCTCAGGGGGGACGGCGTGTCTGAAGGCCCCCAGCCGGGGGAAATAGAGGTTGTGATTCCAGCTTTAGGTGGAAAAAACAGGATCTTTGTTCAGTTGTACGGTCACTCGGACCAGGCGGGGCTGGGGAGGCTGAGGGGGGCGTGTACTCTGTCCCCCCCGCAGTCCCGGCGCCTGGCTGCTGACCTGGCTGAGGAAAGGCGCAGCCAAGGTCATCCCACAGCCCGTCCACGGCCCTGCGGCCTGCTCCGAGGGCCCCGGTCAGGTACCGCTGGGACTGGGAGGGGGCCCCGGGAGGTTGGCGCACCTGGGCTCTGCCCACAGCTGTCTGTCTGTCTGACTGTCCCCACAGGCGGGGGCTCAGATCCTCGGGCACGGCAGCCCTGGGGCTTCAGGTAAGGAGGGAGGGTGGCTATGAAGCTGCGGCTGAGGGGCCACGGGCATGGGCCTTGCCCCGGGGAGAGTCCACGGGCCAAACTTTATGGGACTGGCCTTGGGTTCGAACCTGGTTTTGAGTTGGGGAGGGGGCCTCTGGGCAGGCCTCTTGCTGCTGACCGCCATGCTTTCTTCTGTAGATGGATCCAACGAGGCCTCCAGGGCAAAGGACACTGGGTGAGTCCCCGCCCCTGAGCCTCATCTGTAGTGTATGTGCATGTATGCGTGTGTGTGTGTGTGTGTGTGTGTGTGTGTGTGGAGAGGGGCGGGGGCGGTTAGTGGGGGATGAAAGAGGGAGGGCAGTGTGCACAGAGCCCAGGGTCTTGTGTTTAAGAGAAGGGTCCACCACCACCTCAGTGTGCGACCTTGGACATGTCGTTGGTCTCTTCTGGGCCTCACCTTTCTCATCCACAAAATGGGGCTATGGGTTCCTGGCTGACCGTGGGCCCCCCTGCAGGCCGGCGCCCTGGCTGCTCAGGTGGTTTGAGCAGAACCTGGAGAAAGTGCTGCCTCAGCCTCCGAAAGCCTCCGAGGTGAGTGGAGGACTAGGGGCAGAGGAAGCGGACCACCTGGACGGGTCTCTGGGGTCTCAGGCAGTCTGTCCCCACCCCTTCCCTGGAGGGTCCCTGATGGGAGGGGTGCCTGGAGGAGGGCCCGGATTGAGGGGAAGGCTGGGTGGGCGCACGGCTGGCCAGGGGCGGGGGTAGGTGTGGCTAGCCCTGCTCCATGACCTCTCTCCCTGCTTATGATCCAGGGCTGCAGAGACGAGCCTGCAGACGCTGCCTTGGGCCCAGGTACAGGCAAGGGACCTGGGAAGGGGCTGTCTGAGATGGTCACGGGCTGGGCTGAGGTAGCCCCGGGGCCCAGGGGTCCCGGCGAGGGAGGGGTCAGGGCTTGCTGGTCTATTGTGGGGGGCACTAGAACCCCCTTCCCAGTCCAGGCTGGGAAGCCAGTGGCCTGGGACAGCCTAGTGAGGTCTTGGACACGTCATTCTTCTCCCTGGGCCTCTGTCCATGTCTGTCTGCTGATGGGGGTGGTGGGGTGGTCCCCAGGGGCTCCCCATTCAGTCATGGCTACTACCCGTCAGATCTGGTCCCCTGGGCCCTTCAGGGGTCCCTGGAACCCGGCCCGAATCTCCTCTCCCTCCTGCTCAGAGACGTCAGAGTGCCCCTTGGAAACAGAGTCTGTGCTGCAGCCCCCAGGGAGTCCCCCCCTGCCTGCTCCTGGCCCCCCAGAACCCCAGGAGAAGCCTGAGGACGAGCCTGAGGAGGAGCCCGAGGAGGAGTCCGCTCCAGAGCCCCAGCCCGGCTCCCAGGCTTCCTCCCTGCCAACCCCCGGGGACACTGCCAGGTGAGCCCCCCTAAACACCACACCTCCCGTGGGGAGCAGCCCAACAGCCGAGCTTCGCCAAATTCTTTTAAAAGTTATACAAGTGACACATGCCCCTGGGAGGGAGCTCAAAGGGGTTTCCAGGGCCCCTGCCCAGGGCCACCCCATCAGCGGCTTCTCAGCCTTCCCGGCATTTTCTAGGCACAGACAAGATTGCGTGTGTTTCACTTTTATTATTTATATTATTTTATTTATTTATTTTGAAATCTATTTTACTGATTTTTTACAGAGAGGAAGGGAGAGAGATAGAGAGCTAGAAACGTCGATGAGAGAGAAACATCGACCAGCTGCCTCTTGCACACCCCCTACCGGGTATGTGCCCGCAACCAATGCACATGCCCTTGACCGGAATCGAACCTGGGACCTTTCAGTCTGCAGGCTGACGCTCTACCACTGAGCCAAACCGGTTTCGGCGTGTGTTTCACGTTTAAACGCACCCGCCCGACAGCAGCACACTGTGCGTGCTGTTCTGCACCTTGCTTTCTTCACCCCCAAAATGGTTTTAGACATCCAGGCCTGCTTCATGCTTTGTGTGGCCGCATAGCACTCCACTGTATGGGTGTACTGGCTTCTCTTTAACCACTAAAGAGGCCTGATGCAGGAAGATTCGTGCAGAAATAGGCCTTCCTTCCCCTGGCTGCCAGCACCACCTTCGCTCCGGTCCGCAGCCGCCTTCTGCCTCTTGCCTTGTCATGTCAATTTGCATATTCCCTCCTTATTGGCTGCGGGGGCTGGCATCTTTGTCACGGAGTTACGTTCAATTTGCATATCCCATCTTTATTAGATAGGATGCCGTACACAGCTAGGTGTGTTTCCACTCTTTTACTGCAGGCAGTAGCCTTGTACGGGCATCCTTTCGCCACATGCAAGCAAATGCGAAGGATAATTCTGTGGGAGATGAGGTTGCTGGGCCAAAGGATACATGCATTTAAAATTGGTGTGGCTTGTCCAAACCGGTTTAGCTCAATGGATAGAGTGTCGGCTTGGGGACTGAAGGGACCCGGGTTCGATTCCGGTCAAGGGCATGTACCTTGGTTGCGGGCACATCCCCAGTGGGGGTGATGCAAGAGGCAGCTGATTGATGATTCTCTCTTATCGATGTTTCTAACTCTCTATCCCTCTCTCTTCCTCTCTGTGAAAAATCAATAAAATATATTAAAAATAAAATAAAATTGGTGTGGCTCAATGGTTGATCATTGACCTATGAGCCAGGAGGTCACAGTTCGGTTCCTAGTCAGGGCACATGCCTGCCTGGGGTTGTGGGCTTGATTCCCAATTGGGGGAGGGGGGGGAGCATGCAGGAGGCAGCCAATCAATGATTCTCTCTCATCATTGATGTTTCTGTCTCTCCCTCTCCCTTCCTCTCTGAAATCAATACAAATATACACAAAAATAAAATAAAATTGGGCTGGGTACTGACAAGTTCCCACCCTGGCGGTGGGGAAGGGGCCTGAGGGGCACCTGCAGGGGGTTGGGGTGGAGGTGGGGGAGCTGGAGCTCCCTGCTGGTGCCTGAGCAGTAGCCTGAGACTTGCCTATGGAGGCGGGGGAGGGGGACCGTGGCCTTGGGGGCTGGAGGCCTGGGCTCTGGTCTGCCTTCTGGTGGGCTTGCTGTCTGCCTTGGGCATCACTTCCCCTTGACATGGCCACTCTCTCTCACCCGCAGGCTGATGGCGTGGCTCCTGCACAGGCTGCAGATGGCCCTGCCACAGCCCGTGCCCCGTGGGAAGGCTGGGGAGCAGGTGGGTGCTGGGCCAGTGGAGGGAGGGCCCGGATGGGGGGCAGGAGTGGCGTGGTTGGTCTGTGTCTCAGGGGGGCCATCATGCAGAAGGAAGGAGGGCGCTGGCCACGGCACCCCAGCCCGCCCAGCTCACCCGTCTGCCCCGCCCCGCCATTCTGCACTCCCTCAGGCCCCGTGTCTATGGGGCTGAGGGGGCCGGCTCAGCCCTGCCTGTGAGAGGTCACAGTCAGAGGGGAGGTGCTACCATGGTGGAGCAGAGAGGATGAGGGGTGCAGAGGAGGAGCTGCCCAGGAGCAGGACGGAAGGCTTCCCGGTGGAGGTGGCCTGTGCGCTGAGCCCCGAGGAGGAGGAGGAAGTGGGTGGGTGGCAGTGAATGTGGGTGATTGGGAAGGACCAGCATGTGCGGAGGCCGGAGGTCAGAGGTAGGACTGGCATGCTCTGGGAAGAATGGGGCTGCAGGAAGCCCGAGGCTCTGCGTGCCTCCCCCTGACAGCCTCGGACTCAAGTGTGGGTGGGTTTGGGGAGCAGGGCCCGGGCGCCTCTTCCCCTGGTCCTTCTCTCTTGGGGACAACTGGACACCTTCACAGAAGCACCTGGAGCTGGGGGGGGGGGGCGCCCTGGATCCCGGCCTGCTGGGGTAGGGGGTGGAGAGGGCCTGGAGCAGAGCTGACCTCGGAGGCAGGGGAGGACAGGCAGGGAAGCCTGGGGCCGGAGCAAGGGGACCTTCTGTGAGTGCTGGCGGGGGAGGGAGAGGGAAGGGGATGGAGAGAGTGTCCTGCTGGGAGAAGGAAGGTCTCAGGTCTCTTGCCCCTGCATGACTGGGAGGGACGGTGGGAGTGGAGAAGCCGGTGGGGAGGCCACGTGGTTTTCTCTTTCCCTTCCGCGCAGGAGCCTGACTCCCCCGGGACGTGTGACGTGCAGACCAGTAAGTGACAGGGTGGTGGGTGGTCGTGTGCCTCTCTGGGAGGGTTGCTGGGCCTGAGCGGGCATGGGCTGCGGTGTGTCCCCTGCCGGGCCCGCACTGGCTCAGGGGCACAGTCAGGGTTTCCTGAGGGAACCTGTGCTCCCGAGGCCCTGCCTCAGTCTGTCTGGCCAGGGAGCCCAGCCGGGCCCAGAGCAGATGGTGGCTGGAGGCCTTGCTGGGCTGGGGAGAGGGGGGGAGGGAATGGACTTGAGCGTCCATGCAGAGGAGCTGGTCCTGCTGGGACCCCCAGAGAGAGCTCCCCACTGCCCCTGGCAGCTGGGCTGGGGGTTTAGCTGAGCAGAGTCCCTGGTTGAGGGGTGAGGGGAGGCGGACAGGGACCCGGACCCCTCAGGCTTCAGCTGCCTTGAGCTGGGAGGGTATACCCTCGCCTGTAACCTGGTTGGGCAGGTGAGTGTGTTGCCTTTTGTCTCAGACCTGCATCAGGACTGGGGAGAGGCTGAGGCAAGAGGTGCAAAATCTGCTCTTCTTTCATTTTGTGGGCTCGGGAAAGGCCTGTGAGGACAGGGCATCCATCCACCCATCCATCCACCCACCCATCCACCCACCCATCCACCCACCCATCCACCCACCCATCCACCTACCCACCCTTCTATCCATCTATCCATTTATCCATCCATCCATCCATCCATCCACCCATCCACCCACCCACCCATCCACCCACCCATCCACCCACCCATCCACCTACCCACCCTTCTATCCATCCATCCATCCATCCATCCATCCATCCATCCATCCATCCATCCATCCATCCATCCATCTATCCATCCATCCACCTACCCACCCACCCATCTATTCATCCATCCATCCATCCATCCATCCACCCATCCATCCACCCACCCATCCACCCACCCATCCACCCACCCATCCACCTACTCACCCTTCTATCCATCCATCCATCCATCCATCCATCCATCCATCCATCCACCTACCCACCCACCCATCTATTCATCCATCCATCCATCCATCCATCCATCCATCCACCTACCCACCCACCCATCTATTCATCCACCCACCCATTCATCCATCCATCCATCCATCCATCCATCCATCCATCCATCCATCCATCTGCTCATGTAAAGGAGGGCCTGCTCACACATGTAAAGGAGGGCCTGCTATGTGCCAGGCCTGTCATGAATGCTAGAGGGGCAAAGCGGTGTTCTGGCCCTGAGGGTGGGGGCCCTATCCACCTGGATCCGGGCCCTGGATCCGGGTCTCAGGGCCTCCCAGGGCTGCTCTCACCGTGTCTGTGAGGCTGCGGCCAACCTGTCCCAGTAGGCCGGTGGTGGCCTATATGAGAACTTCGAGGCAGGGGACGGCCACTATGGCCTGGGGCACAGACAGGCCAGCTGACCGTGGAGCTGGGGTCTGACAGAGCGGCTGTAGGGGGCGATGGATCTGTGTAATTGTGATGACTTTGGAAGGAGAGGCTTCAGAGCAGGACTCACCCAGTCTCTGGGGGACACAGAGCAGGGACCCCCAGGCTGTCAGGACAGGGACCCCCAGGCTATCAGGACAGGGACCCCCAGGCTGTCAGGACAAGGTCACCGGGCAAGTTCTCATGCACTTTCAGAGACTAGAGTCCATGTGGCCTGGCCGCAGCTTCTCAGTCAGGCTGAGGTTAACGCTCGGAAAACGTGCCCTGGGACAGAGACCTCTCCCTTGGGAGCTCAGAGCTTTGAGGGTAGGGACCCCTGGCTCCTCTCCCCCCCCCCCCCAAAGACAGAATAAGGGAGAGGAAGAGAGAGATAGAAAAATCACTGATGAGAGAAACATCACTGATCGGCTGCCTGCTGCACGCCCCACACTGGGGATGGAGTCCGCAACCCGGACATGTGCCCTGACCGGGAATCGAACCGTGACCTCCTGGTTCATAGGCCAATGCTCAACCACTGAGCCACCCTGGCTGGCCCCATTGGCCCCTCTTAACCTTCTCTCTGCTCCTCTGGAAGGAGGAGAATTCTCAGTCAGTCACACACAGGGCCTCCCTGTGTGCAGGAGCGTGGGAGTCAGGGGTCGGCAGAGGGCCCTGGGGCCGCCATGGGGCGACTCAACACCCCTCCCAGGAACCTGGGTGCCTCCAAACAGCAGAACTGTACCCTCCCCCAGCTCTCGAGGCCAGAAGTCCAAGGACAAAGTGCTGGCAGGGTTGGCTCCTCCTGAGGCTCTGAGGGGCACACATCGTCGATGCCTCTCTCCTGGCTTCGGGTGGCTGCGGGCACTCCTTGGTGACCCCAGCTTGCACCTGCCTCCCCACCTGTGCCTCCCCCTCTGTTTTCTCTCAAAGGGGTGCTAGGCATTGGATTCGGGGCCCACCCTAACCCAGGATGATGTCATCTCGAGATCCTTAACTAGCGACCACTGTAAAGACCCTTTTCCCAAATAAGGTCACATTCACAGGGGTCAGGAGTAGGGATTGAGTTATGTTTTGGGGGCTTTTGGGGGGCTGAGGATGTGTCCCCCTCCTCCCCAGTCTGCCCCCAGCCTCCCCAGCCTTCACCCACTCAGGCACTCACTCATTCAGCCCCTCCCCTGGGCCACCTGGCCACCACCCTCTGTCTTCTCCTGTTTCAGGGGTGGCAGCGGCGGGAGGCCTCTGAAACAGGGGAGAAGGGAGCCTGGGAGAGCACAGAGGGACAAACGGACGGACGGATGGAAGGGAAGAAGGGTGTCCGAAGAGAAGACCTGCAGGGGAGGGGGATGATTGGCCATTGACACCCCCCCCCCCATCCTCCTTGAACAGTGAGGGGGGATCCGAGTCCCTCCCCTGTCCCTGTCCCAGAGCTGCCTTTCGGGGACACGGGCCGGCCCCTGCCCACCAGAGCAGGGAGAGGTCAGGAGGGACAGCCTGTGGCATTGAGGCCGGACAGCAGGACTCCCCCCCCCCCCCCGCAGGCTGGGGAAAGCCACCAAGGACGTTCCCAGCACAGGGCCTGCCACAGCGTTGGTGTCCCCGTGGGACACAGGTTTTCCCAGATGCTCTTCTTAGGCTGGGCCCAGAGGGTGGGGACCGCCGTGGACAGCAGCAGATGCTTTCATTGACATTAAGGAGCGTAAGCAGCCAAGCTGGCACGGCTCAGTGGTTGAGCATCGACCTATGGACCAGGAGGTCACAGTTCGATTCCCGGTCAGGGCACATGCCCGGGTTAGGGGCTCGATCCCCAATAGGGGGCGTGCAGGAGGCAGCCGATCCATGATTCTCTCTCATCATTGGTGTTTCTTCTCTTTCTTTCTCTCTCTCTCTCCCTTCCTCTCTGAAATCAATAAAAAAACATACGTAAGCCACCATTCGTCATGCATGCTTGGCGTTGGCGTGAGGGCCACCCGGACCCCTGGGGCTTTTTGGAAACCCCAAAGACCCTGGCAAGCCTCCCCCTTTCTTCCTCTCTCCTGCCTGGGGGTGGGCTTAGGTTCCCGATGAGTCTCCCCTGGACCCACTTCTGCCAAGTTCACGGCCCCACAGAGTTTTCACGGTCCGGGGCCAGGGCACGTGGAGAAATGTGGAAAACTGCTGATTCTCTCCGAAGGTGGCACCACCTCCATGAGGAAGTTGACCCCCTTGAGGCCGTGGTCGGCAAACTCATCCGCCCACAGAGCCAAATACCAACAGGACAACGATTGACATTTCTCTGGAGAGCCACATTTTTTAAACGTAAACTTCTAACGCCACGTCTTCAACACAGACGCGCCCAGGCCGTGGCATTTTGTGGAAGAGCCACACTCCAGGGGCCAAAGAGCCACATGTGGCTCAAGAGCCACAGTTTGCCAACTGACCACAGCCTTGTGGGGTGGAGCCTCTAGGTTTAGGAAGGAGGAAAAGACGCCCCCGGGGGGCAGGTGCTGAGCTTACAGGCGTGCAGTGTGCAGTCACCAGGGGGCGGCATTGAGAGAGCAGGCCGTGGGCAAGCTCTCTCTGCATCGCAGGGGCCACTCAGGCTCCCTGCCCCGGGCGTGCAGGTGGACCTTGGGTCTCTGAAACAGGGGAGAAGGGAGTCTGGGAGAGCACAGATGGACAAATGGATGGATGGATGGAAGGAAAGAAGGGTGTCCTGCAGGGAAGACCTGCAGGGGCGGGGAATGAGTGGCCATTGGACAACGCCCGCCCGTCCCCCCCACCCCTCCTCCCCCGCAGCACTGTGGCAAGAAGCATTGTTGCTGCTCCTGCACAGACACCAAGAAGGAGAGACAGAGACTAGTTCTGATGGAAGCTGTGTCTCCAGAGGAAATCAAATGGCAGGAGACAGGGTGACTGATGGCGGGCTGCAGCTCATCCCTGCTGACCACGATGCCGGGTCCGCTGCTGGGCTGAGGCCAAGGCTCCCTGGGTGGCCCCTGGGACTGAGCCCCACGCCCACTGTCCCCCACGCCCCGTGTCCCCTGCAGTCCGCAGCCTCCCGGGAGGGCCGGAGGGGCCTGAGGATCTCATCCTGGAAGAGGTGGACCCTCACTGGGAGGAGGACCTACCTGGGGACGGCAGCGCCAGCCCGCGGGGTGCCGAGGCCGTGGCGTCCGCTGACGAGGAGGAGGAGGAGGAGGCCGGGGCAGAGACGGCCAGGTGGGAGCCGGGGAGGCCCTGAGCAATGACTGGGAAGGTAACAGGCACGTAGGGCGGAGCCTCGAGGACTTACAAGGACGCAGAGAGTGGACCAAGCCTGCCTCTCCCTCTCTCCTCTCCCCAGACACCCATCCCTTCCCACGTTCTTCTGTGCCAACCCAGGGGCCACCGGAGCACATGCAGGCGTGGACTCCACCTTTTTTTATTTTTATTTTTATTTTTATTTTTCACAAAGCATACGTGCCTCGCTGCACTTTGCTATATTCATTTAGCAATCTATCTTTTTTTTTCTTTTTTAAAAAAACAAACAAACCACATTTTATTGACTTTTTACAGAGAGGAAGGGAGAGAGGGATAGAGAGGTAGAAACATCGACCAGCTGCCTCCTGCACACCCCCCACTGGGGATGTGCCCGCAACCAAGTCACATGCCCTTGACCGGCATCGAACCTGGGACCCTTCAGTCTGCAGACCGACACTCTATCCACTGAGCCAAACTGGTTTCGGCTAGCAATCTATCTTGAGAGATCTTTCCACCTTCAGTACATAGAGATTGCTCACACTTTTTTTTTTTTTTAAATAAATGCATCATATTCCGTTGTACGGATGTGCCAGAATTGATGTAACCTGCCTACTATTGGTGGGCACTTAGGTTGGTTCCAAAAATGTGTTTTTGTAAGGAATTCTGCCACAAACACGCTTATGCATGCCTGTGAGTGTGTCCGCAGGGGGTCTCAGGTCCCCAGCCTCACGCCCCGCATTGCACAGTGAGGGAGGGGGAGAAACTGAGGCCCAGAGAGGATCAGGGGCTGAGACAGGCCCCTGTGCCATGAAGAGAAAGGCCTTGCTGTTAGCCAGGCCCGGGGCTCCTCGGGCGGGGGTTCCCAGGTTGATTCTTGGTGGAGGGGTTCAGGTCTGATCTCAAGGGGTCCGGGGACGTCTTACTGAAAATTGGGGCAGGAGGTGCATCTTCAGGGGGGTCCTCACCTCTTGCCTCTGATCTCATTTCAGGGAGTTTCCCTGGATTCAAGAGGACAGAGAAGATGAGGAGGATGGGGAGGAAGAGGAAGAGGAGGAGGAGGAGGAAGAGGAGGAGGAGCCTGGGTAAGGCACTACACTCTTGGCTAAGAAGTGGCCCGGGGAGGTGGGGTAGCGGTGATAATTCTTGGGGGGCCATATTGCAGAGGCCTTGAATTGAATGTCCTGAGAGCCATGGGGAGCTGTGGAAGGTCGGTGAGCCAGGGAGGGGCATGACCTGGCAGCGGCGTTGTGGAGAGATGGAGGCAGGGAGGAGCCTGTTATCCCATCAGGCCAGCCTGATTGGACGGGCCCCTTTGCTCCACCCCCTGGCACTATTCCCTGCCACTCTGCCCTCCGTGGTACCCCCTGGCCCACACCCTTCCTCCCTGACCAGCCCCTCTGGCCGTAGCCTGGGGCAGGGCAGCCAAGGAGTGTTAGGGGCACAGGCTGTGCTGCTCGGAGGGGCCAGGGCATCCCCGCACAGAGCTTCTCCCCATGCCCAAGGTGGGCGAGAACCAGCGCCCTGCAGGGTGGCCGCGGGCCCGGCTGTGAGAACAGGGGCGGCAGGACGTTCGAATCCCCGCCGAGGGCCGGCTTTAGTCCCTGCCAGGAATGCGTTAAACCCCGAGGCCAGCACAGGAGCCCGCTCGGTGTCATCCACCATTAGTCTACCCTCGCCCAGGCTGCATACAATCTCTTCATCCTCGGCCAGAGGCCACACAGCTGCCTGCTTCCCTCCGATGATGGGGAGCTCACCACCTCACAGAGTCTGTGCGCTCCATCCGTATACCCGCCTGGCTTAGGAAATTATTTCTCCCAGCAAACCAAGCGTGCTTCCGTATGGCTTCTGTCACCTGGTCCTAAGTCTGCCCTCTGGGTCCCCGGGCCAGGCTGCTGTCACTGATAGGTGGCCTGAAAACCCCTTTCTGTGCCATGGCTCCCGAGCGAAATAGCCCCTGAGGCCAGTGATCCAATGGGCTCACACACATGACATGTGCTAACTGCACTATCCTCACGCTCACAGGTACACACCTATGCCTGCACTGTCACGCACACCAGCACATAGGCACAGACACACAAGTCTGCATGCATACACAGCACATCCAACACACGCACACATGTTCGCACACGTGTGTGCTCACAGACACACATGTACACACTTAGCAGATGCCCACCCGGCACCCCGCACGCATGCTCATGCACACAGCACATGCATAAGGTTACCCACAAGTGCTGCAGCCACACACACACACACACACACACACGCCTACACAAGCGTGGACCCAAAGTTTTAAACTCGGGGGAAGTTTCGGGCCTGGGCCTCCAGCAGGGATGGGCGTTCTGTGGTAAGAGAGCATGTGATCCCAGAGCCAGGGCCACAGGGGTCTGGCGTGGGCAAGCGGCCGGGCTGTCGCTGGTGGGGGAAGGAGGCTCTCGGCCAGCTTCGCGGAGGCCCAGGGGTGACTGATGATGCTGGCAGACGGTCGCTTAGCGACCAGGTCTCTGCCGGCAAACAGCTCGGCTCTTCCTAGCAACCGCAGCCTTTGGGTCCCCACCTGGCCTCCCTGGGGGCTCCGCTGCAGAGTCACCAGCACAATCTGATTAGAAGCAGGAAGAGCTGGTGGCTCACCCGCCACCCGGGTCTCACTGGCTCCGGAGCCAGCCCGGCAGGCGGGCACAGGCTGGCAGGCTCAGGCTCAGGCTGGCAGGCTGTCCGGTCCTCCACTTGTCCGCGCTGCCTCGGGCCCCGGGATGCATGGCACTGCCCCCCGCTGAGCTCCTGCACCATGGCTGTCCCGGTCGGCAAAGCCCGTGAGACCCAAGTAGGTGGCTGCTCCTCCTGAGGGCTCCCCGTTCCTCCTTTTGGAATTGGGGTGCCGTGAAGAGTCCGCAGAAGGTGCTGTGAGGACCTTCATTGGGGGGCACAGCCTGCTGGGGGACTCGGGGGAAGGGGGGGCTGGCAGACCCTGGCAAACTGCCTCCCTAGGCTCCTCCCTGCACCTTCAACCCTTTCACTTAGAGAGCCAGCGCGGGGAGGGGTGGGGGGCGGGAAGAAGGGGGGAGAGGCTCCTCTGGGATGCCCACCTTAGCCTGTCTCTCTGACCCTCCATTTAGAATTCCCTGGGGTTTAGGAACCTTCCAGAAGGTGACAGCCTGCTGCTTCTGGGACCCGCAGTCAAGGGTCTTGGCAGGCACTGAGCACCCTGCGGGCCAGAGGCGACCGCAACTGTGGGTCCCCAGGTCCCCAGACGGCCCCTGGGGTGCCGGCAGGGCCACCGCAGGGCTGGCGAGGCGTCTCCGTGGCTGGAGATGTTTGTGCAAAACGCTCCCCAATCCACGTGGGCATCTGCTGTGAACACTGGACCGCGCCCTTGCGTCACACCCAGAGGACGGCTCCTAAACGGCCCGCACACGTCCCTTTGCACAAGCCATTCCCCCCTCCCCCGGACACCTTTCCCCCCATTCCTCGTGGTTCATGCGTCATCCCTGAGGGTCAGCTCCCAGGCCACCTCCTCCGGGAAGCCCTCCTCCCTGGGCCGGACTGTGGCTGTGGCCTTCCCCGCCCCTCGTGTCTCAGACCCGGGGGTCGTCAGCAGGACCCGTGCCCGCCGCCTCCCTGTGTGGGAGTCTCACGGGGGGAGGGCCTATTGGAGGGCATCTGGGTGCCCCGGCTCCCGGCACCGCGCTGGCACTCAGCCCTGACCCCGGCCCTCTCCCCTCGGGGTCACAGGGTCCTGCTGGATAGCTGTCTGGTGGCCGCGGCCAGCGAGGACGCGGGCGGCGTAGACGGGACGGTCTCTCGGAGGGCTTCCTGCCAGGTATGGCGTGGCCCCGGGCCTGGCCCCGGGTGCCCTGGGGGTGGGCTGGCCCTGGTGGGAGGGGCTGGGCTCCCTCGTCTATGGGGGGTTTTCAGCGTGTGGGATGCCCGTCAGACAGGGGGAGCAGGGTGGTGGGACGGCAGGTCTGATGGTGTGAGGAGGGGCCTCCGGGGGAGTGGGTGGGGAGCCGCTGGACCCTCACTTCCGTCCTCACGTGGCTGTGTGACCCTGGGCCGGGCACCACCCCACGCTGGGCCTCAGCGGCCACCTCTGTGAGATGGGGCCAACCCCGCCCCCTGCAGGCGGTGCGCAGTTGTGCGCTGTGAAGTGAGGTGCCCGTGGGGAGGACTGTGGTGGCTGCTTTGTGCCTGTGTCCCCACATGCTCAGGTGTGTGTGTGTGGTGGGGGGGTAGGGGGAGGCCTGGGGCTCCTGTATGCACTGCCCCTACCAGGTGGAGACCACCTGCCCGGGTGCCCCAGGAGAGGGGCTGGACAGGGCTAGGGTGGGGGTGTGGCTTGCTGGTCTCAGCTTCTGTTCCCACTGTCTGTTTTGCAGGAGGAAGCCGCAGCCGCCAGCTCAGGAGGTAGGTGGGGGGGTGGGTGGGGGTGGGGGTGGAGGGGAAGGTTGCAGAGAATGTGCAGGGTCACCCCACCTCCTCTCCCTCCATCTCCACCATCCCTGTCCCCCTCCACCTGCCCCATCCTCAGGCAAACCACCCTCCATGCCTGGGACCACATTTTTTCTTTTTTTCTTCCTTTTAAAAAAAAAATATATTTTATTGATTTTTTTACAGAGAGGAAGAAAGAGAGATAGAGAGCTAGAAACGTTGATGAGAGAGAAACATTGACCAGCCGCCTCTTGCACACCCCCTACTGGGGATGTGCCCGCAACCAACATACATACCCCTGACTGGAATTGAACCCGGGACCTTTCAGTCCGCAGACCGACACTCTACCGCTGAGCCAAACCGGTTTCGGCTGATTCTGACGTGTTTTGAGCCTGAGGTGGAAAATGCTCCCGGGGGTTGGCTAACAGAGTGCAAGGCGGGAGGGGCTGCAGGCTGTGCCTCGGAGCCGTGGGGAGAGCCAGCCACAGCGCGTGGCGATGCATGTGACAGCGAGCTCCGGGGACGAGGGTGATGCTCCAGATGTTGGGAGCAGGTGCAGCTGGGTACTGGGCTGGCCTGAGTTGGTGCTAATGGGGGGACCCTACTCCCCTGCCTCCCCCAACTCTGTGCTCCTCATTGCAGTCCCCAGGGTCCCGCCTCTGCCTGAGATCCCCCTGGCCCCAGCACCATGGCTACCCCAGGCCGGGACAGGGAGCCGAACGGCCAGGTCCAGGACCAGCCGCCTGGCCAGGTGGCCCCCAGGCTGGCCCCCCTAAACCCAGCGGAGCACCTCCCCAATGTGCCCAGCTACTGCCCCCCCATCACCCGCATCCCCGTCCTCGTCTCCCGGAGGACGGCCTTGTCCAGCTCCAGCTTCGCCAAGGAGACCAGGAGCTCCGTCCGTCGCCTAGGTAGCGTGGTCCCGCCCACCCAGCCCAGCATGCTCTCGCACCCACGCCGTGTGCTTCTGCATGGCTTGGGCCATGTCCCAGCGTGGCTGCCGTGGCCAGCCTGGGGACCACTCTCTGGGCTCGTGGGAAACCACCCCTTCCTCTGCTGATCACTGCCTGCCTCCCTCATGCTTTGTGGTGACGTGACGGGTCTCGGTGCCTAAAAATCTCACAATGAGCAATTCACTCCCTTGGGTCAAACACTGCTTTCTCCGGATCAGTGGTCGGCAAACCGTGGCTCGCGAGCCACATGCGGCTCTTGGGCCCCTGGAGTGTGGCTCTTCCACAAAATACCACGGCCTGGGCGCGTCTATGTTGAAGATGTGGTTCGGAGAAGGTTACGTTTAACAAATGTGGCCCTCCGAGGAAATGTCCATCGTTGCCCTGTTGATAGTTGGCTCTGTGGACTAAGGAGTTTGCCAACCACTGCTCCAGATCGTCACCGTTGGTACAAATAGTCACTCACACCCTAGTGTGAACAAGCCACTCTGGTCTCCAGGCCCAGAGCAGAGGCGTGGGGCAGGGAGCTGGGCGGAGGAAGAGAGAGGATGAGTGGAGGGGGATGGAGCAGGAAGGAATGTGGAGTTCGTTGTAGACAGACTCTTCTGACCTTGAGAGCTGGCCGAGAGCTGGGGTTTCTGAGTGCCGCGCTGGCTTCTGCCCGGCAAATTCCACGTCAGGGAGGGAGAGGCGGCAGGTGCCGGCAGGCGGAGCAGGCGGCATGGCCTCCCCGGGGGCCTGGGCAGAGGCAGCCCGCCTGGGTCTGCTCCGCTGTGGCAGGGCGCCCTCCGGGGCCTGCAGGCTGGCTGCGTGCTGTCTGGTGACAACGTGCTCAGGGGCATACTGACCCCTCTGGGCTGCCCCTGCCATTTCCTGCCTTAACTCCAGCCAGACCCGCCCACTTTCCCTTCTGTGTGTGTGTGTGTGTGTGTGTGTGTGTGTGTGTGTGTGTGGCTGGCACGGGGGAAGGCTGCCCTGAGCTCAGGAAGCAGGGAGGGAGCACCGAGCGTTTCAGGAAGATCCACGTGGCCCGTCTCTCCCGCTCCTAACGTGGGGTGGGCAGAGCGGGGGGAGGTGGCACCTCCTGACAAGGGGTGCCACCCAGCTCCCGTCTTGTGGGCGAGCCCGACACCCGCTCACTCCAAAGGGTCCCCCCCCCCCCTCCCGCTTCCACCCTGGATCACTCCCGGGTTTTGACTCCGGTCTGGTGCCAACTCTGCTTTTTTTTTTTTTTTTTTTTTAAATATATTTTATTGATTTTGTACAGAGAGGAAGGGAGAGAGATACAGAGTTAGAAACATCAATATGAGAGAGTCATTGATCAGCTGCCTCTTGCACATCCCCTACTGGGGACACCAGCAACCAAGGTACATGCCCTTGACCGGAATCGAACCCGGGACCCTTTAGTCCCCAAGCCGAAGCTCTATCCATTGAGCCAAACCGGTTTCAGCCCAACTCTGCTTTTATTTACTTACTGTTTTCCTTTTTATTTAAGGAATTGCATTTATTTATTTATTTGTTTTTAAAATATATATATATTTTTTATTGATTTCAGAGAGGAGAGGAGAGGGAGAGAGAGGAACACCAAGGATGAGAGAAAAATCATGGATCGGCTGCTTCCTGCACGCCCCCTACTGGGCATCGAGCCTGCAACCCAGGCCTGTGCCCTGACCGGGAATGGAGCCGTGACCTCCTGGTTCCCAGGTGGACGCTCCACCACAGAGCCACGCCGCTGGTGGGGCTTACTGAAGTGTATCTAAGCAGGAGACTTGCCGTTTCTATAAAAATGAAAGCTGGCATGCCTTGCCATAGTGGAAGGCACACGTAGAAAGAACCACGAGGACACCGAGAACAAGCGATGCTGGCAGTTTTCAGGGGCACAGGCCAGCCGGCGGGGGCTCGGGCGGAGACCTGCTCTCCGGGCACAGAGGGGAGGAGAGGGGGTCACTCAGGTGGAAGCCAGCGCGGCACTAGCCTGAGACGTCCTCTCTGGACCCAGAGAGCCCTGGACGAGAGGAATGTCCTCGTTCTGTGCTGTCCTTTGCCTGCTCTGTGCCACCCGGTCATCCCGTGCCCTCCCTGGCCCCGGAGAGCCCCACACTTGGAGAAGCATTCCCAGTGACACAGTGGGACAGAGGGCACCTGGCCCCGCAGGCCCGGGGGTGGGGAAGGGAGGCTGGGTGGGAGGACCAGTCTCAGGACGTGGGGCTTGGCACTGGGCCTCTCAGAGGTTGGTGAACTTGGGGGGCTCCTGGCACGTAGAAAAGCAGGGAAATACCTTTGCCCGGCCAGTGTGGCCCAGTGATTGAGCGTCAAACCCATGAACCAGCAGGTCACGGTTTGATTCCCGGTCGGGGCACAGGCCCGGGTGGGTAGGCTCCATCCCCAGTGTGGGGCGTGCAGGAGGCAGCCGATCCAGGATTCTCTCTCATCTTTGATGTTTCTCTCTCTCTCTCTCTCTCTCCCTCTTCCTTCCTCTCTGAAACCAATAAAAATATATTTAAAAACAAACTAACGCCCAACCGGGTCCCCCAACAGCAGTAACGCTCATTACAAAGACAGGCTGCTACCCTTGCTGGAGGACACTCCACATTCTTTCCATGGAGGTGCCTTCTCCTCCCACCTCCAGGCCTCGGGAGGCATCCTTCCCCCTTCCTTGGGATGGGGAAACTGAGGCCCAGAGAAGGGAAGCAGCCGAGCCAGGCTGTGCTAGGCCAGGCGCTAGGACAGTCCCCCCCCCCCCCCCCAATCCCCATGCCTTCCTGAGGCTCTATCCCCACGCCCTGCCTCCCTGGCTGCTTGATGCTTCCCGGGCCCAGGGAATGCAGGTGGGCGCTGGCGACCTGGACTCCAGGCCGTGTCTTGGAGCTCCTGTGGCTCCTGTGGCTCCTGTGGCTCCTGTGGCATCACGGCTGCCTCTGTGGGTCCTGGGCTGGTGGCCGTGGCTGCGTGGCCCTCGGAGGCCTCCGGGCTCTGGGCCTTGCGTCTTGTGCATCCTGCGTGGAGCTCCGTGTGGGGCCTTGGGAGGTGGCTGCCAGGGGCTGCTCCGAGCCTGCGTCTGTGGCCTCTCTCTCTCTCTCTCTCTCTCTCTCTCTCTCTCTCTCTCTCTCTCTCTCTCTCTCTCTCACCCCCACCCCCATTCTCTCTGTGTCCTCTCCTTCCTCTCCCCCAGTGCCTGCCACCAAAGAGCACCCGGAAGTGCAGGTGGAAGACACGGACGCTGACAGCCGCCCCCCCACCGCGGAGGACAAGCCGCCCTCCCCGGAGCCACTGCCGCCTTCTCCTGCCAAGCCCGACACCCTCACGGTCCCGGGGCCGGCCGCGGGGACCCGCAGGTCACCTTGCACGCTCCTCACGGGCTCTCCGCGGCACGGGGCCACCTGCCCATTTGGCAGATGAGGAGACTGAGGCCAGGGGTGGGGGGCGCAGCTGGCCCGAGGCCACCCCTCGAGGTGGGGTCAGAACCGGGGCTGTGCCCTCCCTTGCTGGCTCTCCTAATTCTCTGCCAAGAGGTCTCTAGGGAAGCCCGGTCCCTGCCACCCTCAGCTGCATGCTGGACGCGGGTGGGACGTGACAAGCCTGAATTCTAACTCCCCTTTTAAAAAATATTTTTAAAAAAACGTTTTTATTGATTTTAGAGGAAGGAAGGGAGAGGGAGAAAGAGAGAGAGAAACATTAATGAGAGAGAATTATTGATCGGCTGTCTCCTGCACGCCCCCTACTGGGGATGGAGCCCACAACCTGGGCATGTGCCCTCACCTGGAATTGAACCCTGACCTCCTGGTTCATGGGTGGATGCCCAGCCCCTGAGCCACGCTGGCCGGACGAGGGCAGTGACTGTGGACTGGGACGGGAAGGGAGAAGATGTTTAGGCCGAGGCCCGGCTGAGAGACCAGTGTCTCATTGCGTCGGGTGGATGTAGGCCCATTTTACAGAAGGGGAAACCGAGGCGGCTCAGAGAGGTTAAGCCACTGGCCGAGGTCACACACTGGGAGGAGGCAGGGCTGGGTGCGAACTCAGGTTTGCCTGAGACCAAGGCACAGCTGTGAGGTTTAGGCTCGGCCTCTGAGCCATTGAACCGAGTGGAGCCTGAGGTCAGAGAGCAGCTGCGAACCTCCCCTCCCCCTTTCTGCGTCCCTGCGGGGAAGTGAGGTCCCCTGGGCTGCAGCATCTCCTGTCCCATCCCCACCCGGGATTTGGCTCTGGGTGATCTGCGAGGAGCCGGCGGCTCCCCTCCCCTGGGGCCTGCCCTCGCCGAAGGCCCCTCCCATATTGTGTCCTTGCAGGAAGAGGCTGCCCTCCCAGGACGATGAAGCGGAAGAGACCCAGGAGCTGCCACCGGCCGAGACCCCCACGGTCGCCTGGTCCGACCCCCCCACCCCGCAGGGCACCGAGTGAGTGGGGGCCACCCCTGGGGCCTCGGAGAGTCCGAAGGCTGGGTGCGGATGGGTGGGCAAGAGGAAGTGAGAGAGGTGGGGGCAGGAAGCTTTAAAATGTGTTTTTATTGATTTTTAGAGAGAGAGAGAGAGGGGAAAGGAAAGGGAGAGAGACATCCATGAGAGAGAAACATCATTGATTGGCTGCCTCCTGTATGCCCCACACGGGGGATCAAGCCCACAACCTGAGCAAGTGGCCTGGCTGGGAATTGAACTGTGACCTCTTGGTTAATGGGTTGATGCTCAACCACTGAGCCACACCAGCCGGACACCGCGGATGGCTTTAGAAGCCTCTGCCACAGGCAACCTCTGCCAGTGACTTCCAGACGGGAGACTAGGCTGGGTCTCCAGAACCGAAAACACCTGTATTACACCCGCTCACCGCGGGCACAGTGAGGCCACTCGGAGGAGAGCTGACAGGCGTGTCTGCGTCCCGCCCCCCAGGACCCTCGCCACACGCTGAGTGGAATGTCAGGCAGACTCTCGTTCGTTCGTTCGTTCATTCCTTCATTCATTCAGTCAGTCTCTTTCTCTTGCTGGTAGTTCATAAATTCCTAAAAGTTAAAGATATGTAGTATATCTGTACTGCTCCCAGCTATATCTGAAGCCTAAATAATTAGCCCTGCCCCTCTCCGATCTGTCCCAGACACTCTCTCAGGTGAACCCCACACGAGGACTAATAGCCCTGGGCTGTGCTCACCCCTAAGTCACAGGGCAATCAAAGTGTTTCAGAACTGCCCGTCTAACTCAGAGCCTGCACAGTGCATTTCCTTTTCTTTTTTAGAATATATTTTTATTGATGGTAGAGAGGAAGCAAGAGGGATAGAGAGAGGAGAGATAGAAACATTAATGACGAGAGAGAGTCATTGGTCGGCTGCCTCCTGCACGCCCCACACTGGGGATCGAGCCCGCAATCTGGGCCTGTGCCCTGACCAGGAGGGGAGCCATGGCCTCCGGGCTCTTAGGTGGATGCTCAACCCCTGAGCCACGCTGGCCAGGCTGCGCGGTGCATTTTCTGAAAGCTGGGCCCTGGCTGTTACTCCCAGGCGGGCTTCCTGCGAAGAGATGACAAAGTGGGCTTGATATATTTTTAAAAATACATATTTTATTGACTTTTTTACAGAGAGGAAGGGAAAGGGATAAAGAGCTAGAAACATTGATGAGAGAGAAACATTGATCAGCTGCCTCCTGCACACCTCCCACTGGGGATGTGCCCGCAACCAAAGTACATGCCCTTGACCAGAATCGAACCTGGGACCCTTCAGTCCGCAGGCCGACGCTCTATCCACCGAGCCACACCGGTTTCAGCTGGGCTTGATACTTCTGATGTCCGAAGGACTCACCTCCTTCCGGCCGGGGGGAGGGGTGGGGGTGTCAGCTCTTGCCCGGGGCACAGGGGTCCCTTCCCCCTCGGCCGGCTCAGCTTCGGTGGTGTTTCATAGCGACCAGGACCGGGCGTCCTCCACCGCCAGCCAGAACAGTGCCGTCATCAACGAGCGGCTGCAGGAGCTGGTGAAGCTCTTCAAGGAGCGGACGGAGAAGGTGAAGGAGAAGCTCATTGACCCCGACGTGACCTCCGATGAGGAGAGCCCCCCGCCCTGTGAGTCCGGAGCGGGAAGGTCCGCCCAGGAGGGGTGGGTGGGGCCTGAAAGCCCTGCTGGCTCATGGGGAGGGCGGCCCCCAATGACTGGGGTGTTTGAGAGAAGGTGTGGATGGTGGGGTCCTGTCTGTACAGGGTGAGCTGGATACCCAGGGGAGGGAGGAAGGATCTAGTTGTCCTTGGCTCCCCTGTCCCTCATGGATGCTCCTTTTACTGTTATTAAATATATTTGTATTGATTTCAGAGAGGAAGGGAGAGGGAGAGAGAGAAACATGAATGATAAGAGAGAATCATGGATCGGCTGCCTCCTGCATGTCCCCGACTGGGGATCAAGCCTGCAACCGGGCATGTGCCCTGACTGGGAACCAGACTGTGACCTCCTGGTTCCTAGGTCAATGCTCAACCACTGAGCCACACCTGACCAGGCGACCCTTCTGTCTTTTTAAAAATATATATATTTTACTGATTTTTTACAGAGAGGAAGGGAGAGGAATACAGAGTTAGAAACATCGATGAGAGAGAGTCATCCATCAGCTGCCTCCTGCACACCCCCTACTGGGGATGGGCCCGCAACCAAGGCACATGCCCTTGGCCAGAATCGGAGCTGGGACCCTTCAGTCCGCAGGCTGACGCTCTACCCACTGAGCCAAACTGGTTAGGGCGACCCTTCTGTGTTTATCCACTGGCATCAGGTGGTCACCCTGGGGCGTAGCTCACTGTCTCACACTCAGGGGGTGTTCGTCACTCACACTGGAATCAGACGGTCTTGTTCAGATGCCTCCCTTGCACTGCTCCCCTGGGGCTAGCTGAGCGTCTCCTGCTTTCCAGGTGCCAGGAGGAAATATGGAATGTGCTCTGTTGCTGGGGGGCAGGCAGGGGTTTCTAGGTCTTTCCAAAGGAGAACCGTGCCTTAGAACTCATCCATCCATCTACTCATCCATCCATCCATCCATCCATCCATCCATCCATCCATCCATCTATCCATCCATCCATCCAGCCATCCATCCATCCATCTATCCATCTATCCATCCATCCATCCATCCATGCCTGCACTGAACCGGCAGTGCCTGCCTTTGCAATCCTACCGCTAGGAACGTAGCCACATTGAACCTGTAAGAGCCTGTCTCTAGGTGACCCACCTGGCCCTCCCCTGGCGGTGATCCCCTTCAGTGTCTTGTTTTAGAGACAAAGGAGCTGAGATTCCTGCTCTGAGGAACCTATAGCGATGCTGCCCTGGGGTGGAAGTCCTGGGTCCGAGGCGCTCCCGGCCCTGCAGGGGGCACCAAAGGGAGCCAAACAGTTACACAAGCAGACACTCACCTGACACAGCAACTGGCCCAGAAGCGCGTCCTTCGGGCCGTTTCGGATGGGTGGCTGGGGAGCCAGTCTGGACTCTAAGGTGGCTGTGAGGAGGGAGCTCGGGGTTTTCCTGCAGGAGAGCACCCTGGCGTCTGCCCACAGAGCTGGGAGCAGCCTGTGGGGCAGTGCCAGGGTCCCCTCAGCTCCGGTGAGGGGTCTGCAGCTCAGAGCCTTCTCTCTGCATCCTCTGCCTCAGCCTCAGGGCTGGGTCAGGGGGTCACCAGCATCATCCCACAGCTCCAGCCAAGCAGGCCCCGCAGCCAGCCACGGGCACCACGCCCGCCGCGGGCACCGCGCCCGTTGGGGAGGCGCCGGCGCAGGAGGAGCACTACTGCGACATGCTCTGCTGCAAGTTCAAGCGCCGGCCCTGGCGGAAGTGCGAGTTCCCCCGGAGCATCGACCCGCTGACCAGTGAGTGCCTGCTGGGCCGTGGGCATGGGCGCCACGGGACACGGGAGGACGGGAGAGCGGGCCGGGGTGGAGGGGCTGAGCCAGAGGGGGGCTGGGAGGCCGTGGACACCCAACACAAATGCACACAAGCCTGGAATGGGAAGACAAGGTCATGACCATCGGACAGACAAGGGGACAAAGGCACAGAGAAGGCCAGCGCTGACACTCCCAGCGGGTGCTGGCGCCGGGGCCCAGACTGCTGGCCAGGTCTCTCTGCTCAGCTCTCGCTGGCTCCTTCCTGGAGGTGCTGCTCGGAGCAGAAAGGGGAAGGAGTTCTTCCCACGTCGGAAGGGAATGCCTTCCTTTAGCCCATTTGATACTCTCAGGAGTAACAGTACTTCCTGTGTGCGAGGCTCTGTGCAGTTTACAGTCTCCCTGTGGTTCTTATCTGACCTCCCCTGGTGACTTCTCTGAGCAGGGTCAGGCAGGGCAGGTGCCATAGAGGGACTTTCTCAAGGTCACACAAGCAGTCATTTGGGGGACACTGGTGTCCCCGGGGCCTCTAAAAGGGCCAGATGATCTATGGTATCCATTCATCCATCCATCCATCCACCCATCCACCCACCCACCCTCCATCCATCATCCATCCATCCATCCATCCATCTATCCATCCGCCCATCATCTATCCATCCATGACCCACCCACCCATTCATCCATTCATTTATCCACCCACCCACCTATCCATCCATTCATTCATCCACCCATCTGTCCATCCATCCATCCACTCACCCTCCATCCATCATCCATCATCCATCCATCCATCATCCATCCATCCATCCATCTATCCACCCGCCCATCATCTATCCATCCATGAACCACCCACCCACCCATTCATCCATTCATTTATCCACCCACCCACCCATCCATCCATTCATTCATCCACACATCTGTCCATCCATCATCCATCATCCATCTATCTAACCATCCACCCATTCAACCATCCACCCACCCATCCATCCATCCATCCATCCATCCATCCATCCATCCATCTATCCATCCATCTGTCCATCTTCTGTGCATTACTTCCTACTATGTATTTCCTAAAGCAGGAAGTCGATTTTACCCCCTCCAAGTTACAGGAGTGTCACACTCACACAGCGCTTACAGGAAAGTGCAGACAGACAAGTGGAGCAAAGAGAGCCCACCTGGCCGCCCTGGCTGAGGCTCTGCCCCCTCTCCCCCGCCCCTCCCGTCCCCGCAGACCTGATGTACATCCTGTGGCTGTTCTTCGTGGTGCTGGCCTGGAACTGGAACTGCTGGCTGATCCCGGTGCGCTGGGCCTTCCCTTATCAGACGCCGGGCAACCTCCACTTGTGGCTGCTGATGGATTACCTGTGCGACCTCGTCTACTTCCTGGACATGGCTGTGTTCCAGACCCGCCTGCAGTTCGTCCGGGGAGGCGACATCATCGTGAGCCACCGGCAGGCGGGGCGGGGGGGGGGGTGCTGGGAGCTCCCTCTCCCCACCTGGGAACCCGGAGGCTGTGCCCGGAGCTCAGCGGCTCCATGCTGGCTCCTGCTGGTCCAGGGACTGCAGCTCTGATAGGAAGGTGGCGGGGAGGGCCATTAGGGACTGCCATGGCGGCTCCCCATCTCACGGCCATTATTCCATTTCCTTCCAGACAGACAAAAAGGAGATGCGCAATAACTACCTGAAGTCTCCCCGCTTTAAGGTGTGTGCCAGGGGTGAAGGTGGCACTTCAGGGACCCTGGGTGCTCCGGGCAGGTGTGACGGGGTTCCCCAGGCTGGCACAGGCTGGGCAGACGGCAGCCTGTGGGTGGGAGGCCTTCCGCTCTACGCTGCGGCCCTCCTGGGCCTCCGCAGCTCCCCTGGCCCCAGCCCAGCCCGGGGCTTCCCGTTGCACACACCGCGCTGCCGCTGGGATTGCAGATGGACCTGCTCTGCCTGCTGCCCTTGGACTTGCTCTACCTGAAGCTGGGCGTGAAGCCCCTTCTGCGGCTGCCCCGCTGCCTGAAGGTAGGCCAGGGGGCTTCCCCGCCAAGGCCCTCCTCTGTACAGCAGCACCGGGAGCGGGTGGGGCGGGAGGGTGTCCGCCTCGCAGAGACAGGGCGGGTCCGATCTGGGTTCGAGCCCTGGCTCTGCCACAGCCTGCCCGTGTGCTTCGGTGAGTGCTGAGGGCCCGTTTCTGCTCTGCAAAAGGAGGCTGCTGATGCATGCTGCACATGTAAACCACGGGCCAAGGTAACATGTATACATACAGCCATACAGACAGATAGACACACATATAGACGGTATAGCTGACCTTTGAACAGCACGGGGGTCAGTCTCTGCATGAGTCCACTTTGTAGATTTTTAAAAATGAATACATATATTATTATAAATGTATCTTCTCTTCCTTATGACTTTAAAAAAATATATATATATTTTATTGATTTTACACAGAGAGGAATTGAGAGGGACAGAGGGTTAGAAACATCGATGAGAGAGAAACATCGATCAGTTGCCTCTTGCACACCTCCTACTGGGGATGTGCCCGTAACCAAGGTACATGCCCTTGACCGGAATCGAACCCGGGACCCTTCAGTCCACAGGCTGACGCTCCATCCATTGAGCCAAACCGGTTTCAGCAGGACTTTCTCAATAGTATATTCTGTTCCCCAGCCTCCTTTGTTGTAGAAATACAGTGTGTAACACACACAACGTACAAAGCATGTGTAAACCCGCTGATTATGTTATCGGCAAGGCTTCCCGTCAAAGTGGGCTGTCAGTAGTTAAGTTCATGTGGGACTCAAACTTGTACACGGACTTCCGGCTGCACAGGGGTCTGCAGCCCAACCCCTTGCACAGAGCAGTGGTCGAAGGTGCTCGGCACCGAGAGCGCCTGTGATTATTACTTTCGTTGTAAGGAGGGGGTTAGGGGCACGGCTCGCTATGAGATTGTTTTCTAAGCTGACACTGACAAGTGTCCGTACCTGGGACACAGGTGCCCTCCAGGTTCATGATCAGATCCAGGAGATTAAACTGCCAGCACGTGACGGCATGTTATTCCCAGAGGCAGAGGGGCCACAGTTCCCATCGGATTAGTAGCTGGAGTCTCTGGCCCTGTCTCTCTGAGGACACAGGTCCTGTGATTTCGAATGTCCCCGCTCCAGCCCCCTCCCGAGTCCTGGCGCCTGGGGCGGGGGGGGGGGTGCGGCGTGGAAACGGGGCTGCAGGGCGGGGGCAGGGCGTCCCCCACAGACCCCGGGCTGCCCTGCGCCCTGCTCTCCCTCCAGTACATGGCCTTCTTCGAGTTCAACAACCGCCTGGAATCCATCCTCAGCAGAGCCTACGTGTACAGGTGAGACACATGCCCACGGGCACACACACACGCACGCACACGCACACGCACACGCACACACACGCACACGCACATGCACATGCGCACACACGCCCTCTGCCCTCGCTTCCCCCAGCCCGCAGGCCTCCCCCCGGCCGGAAGCCGGGCCCCTTCCTGCCCTCCTCCGAGGGGATGTTTGTTTTAGGGAAGCAGGCACGTCCCGTTTCCCGCGATTGTGAGGAGGGCACACCTAGGCCGGCATGCATGGCTCACCGTGTTTCCAGGGAGTGAAGCCTCATGTTGGTCTCAGATCGGGGAACAACACCCCCCTGCTCCCCCGCCACCCCGGCCCCATCGCTCAAACCCAGGGGGACCCAGAGACAGGGCATAGCGGGCCGTCTGGTGGATGTCCAAGGGTGGCCAGCCGGGCAGGCCCGGGGGCAGGGTCCTCCCTCTCTCTCGTGGATTGGCCCTTCTGCACACACCTGTCCCTCCTCTGCCCCGGCCCACCACGGCCTGCCCAGGACGGTTTGTGCCAAACCAGCCCTGGTCATGACAGCGCTGCCCCGAGCCTCCACTTCCCGCGTGCGGTCTCCAAAGAGCGTCCGGTTGGCTCAGGTCACTGGCTCCCGCGCTGTCCGCATTGGCCGGTGACCGCCCCTGGGTGAGAGGTCACGGCCACCCCGCCCGCTGCCATGTTCACGCCTTTCCTCCCTGGCAGGGTTATCAGGACCACGGCCTACCTGCTCTACAGCTTGCACTTGAACTCGTGCCTGTATTACTGGGCGTCGGCCTATCAGGGCATCGGCTCCACCCACTGGGTGTACGATGGCGTGGGAAACAGGTGAGCCGGCCTTCCCCCCCCGGCCGTGCCCCCCGCACAGGGACCCCCATACACAAGTCCCATCCCCGCATGCTCCCCCGGCCAGCCTCCTCCATCCCAAGCAACTCCACTGGGATGAGGTTGAGGGGCCAAGTCTGCCATCCCCGCTGAGCTAATATCCGAGCCACTGCCAGGTGCCAGGCAGAGGGGGCACAGCCATGAATGAACCAGACCTGCTGGAGAGACCCTGCAGCGCCCCGGGGTCTGGCAGCGATGGCAGAGTCTCCGCATGTGTGCATGGGGGTGGGCACCCTAAGGGCACAGCTGGGCGGGAACGAGGGCACCAAATCGCAGCACAGCTCCCGGGCAAGGGCTGGGCAGCAAGGCAAAACCTACTTGCCTTTTTCGGCCGGCATGGCTCAGTGGTTGAGCATTGACCTTTGAACCAAGAGATCACGATTGGATCCCCTGTTGGGCACATGTCCAGGTTGTGGGCTCAATCCCTGGTGGGGGTGTGTGTGCAGAAGGCAGCCAATTAATGATACTTTCTCATCATCGATGTTTCCATCTCTCTCTCCCTTCCTCTCTGAAATAAATTTATTTATTTTTTATTTTTTTAAATATATATAATATTGCATTGATTTTTTTTTTTTTTTTTTTTTTTTTTTACAGAGAGGAGGAAAGAGGAATAGAGAGCTAGAAATGTCGATGAGAGAGAAACATCGATCAGCTGCCTCTTGTACACCCCCTACTGGGGATGTGCCCACAACCAATGTACATGCCCTTGACCGGAATCAAACCTGGGACCTTTCAGTCCGCAGACCGACGCTCTATCCACTGAGCCAAACCGGCTTCGGCTCTGAAATAAATTTAAAGAAATATATATATATTTTTTTTATAAAAGAGGAAACTTCCTTGCCCATCCAGAGAGCTGCTGTACACTGTGCTCAGATGATGATGATGGTGATGATAAAAATAATGATAACAGCAGGGACCACAGAGCAGCTGTAACGTACCAGCCCTGCGAACACAGTCGTTCACTTAATCCTCCCCACAAGCACCCAGGAGAGGTCCTGTCATCGCCCCCCTTTTACAGACCAGGCCACAGGGGTGCCGTGACCTGCGAGGGCAGCACAGGTCCTACGTCAGAGAGCTGGGATTCGAACCCAGGGGAGTGGCCACAGTGCCTGCCTGGGGCTGTAGAGGTGGAAGGAGAGGTCAGGTTGGGAAAGATTGCATTTGACCTTGGCCTCCGCAGGTGGAGAGGAGGGCAGAGACTGCCTGGGGGAGGGAGCACCATGAAGAAAGGTGTGGAGTTACAGGACGGTGGCGTTAAGGAGGTTCAGGAGCAGGGTGCCGTCTTGTGCCCCGGGAGGGGGCAGGATGAGGGATTTCTAGGGGAGGTAGGCGGGGCCTGGTTGCCCAGCAGCCTCCCTGCCTGAGCAGGTCCAGCCTCACCTTCTAGGCCTTCGCTGCCCGACACCGGAGCCACCAGCCACACGGGCCTCCGAGCACTTGAAACGCAGGTGCCTCTGAGATGTGTGGGACATGCTGGCTTTTCGAAGAAGTCCCTGGCTTTCCTGGGATTCTTAGAGGAGTCTGTACCCACGTCCTGGGGCTGGGCCTGGCACGCCCATTGCGGGCGCAGGGGCACAGGGGAGGAGTGGCCAGCAGGGAGGGGGGAACAGGGCCTTCCTTCCTCCTGGAGGGCCCCCGGGTGCTCTCGGTGCTCAGCGTGGAGGGCACCCCTCTTTGGCAACACTGCTCTTTTCCAAAGGAAATCCTACAGGGAACCCCGATATACGGCCAGAGCACAAGCAGCGAAGGAGGATTCCTGCCCAGAAGCCCACTACCAGGGCTAATGATAATTTTCATAACAGCGACCATTTGTCGAGTGCCTGCCATGGGCTGGGGCTTGAGGACCCAAATTCCTACGTATCTGGTCCTTCATCCTGCAGGGTCCCCGCCGACCGGGGAGCATGGCAGACCAGGCTGCAGGGAGGCCCCTGAGATGTGCCAGGCCCGTGGGAGGTTCCTCCCACCAGGAAGGGTTTGGGGGAAGGCTGAGGTTTGCTGACATCACGCTGCCTGTTTTCTTCCTGTTGGCTCCGCAGCTCCCAGCTTCCTTGCTCAGCCCAGCTACAGGCGGTTCCTGCGCCCTCTGGTGGCGAGGACCGTATGACAGGGGACTTCACAGGGCCGGCCTGTATTGTGTCCTGAGATTTCCCTGCGCCAGGTGGGAAGGAGGGACAGGAGGGACAGGAGGGACAGGGCGGCTCAAAGCCCTGCCCCCGGCCTCCAGCTAGTCAGATGCAGTCAGAGCCAGAGACCCCTCCCTGCCATGACCAACCACCGCTGCTTCCCGCCACCATTGCATTTGCTTGCTGGTCCCCACTAGACGGTGAACTCTCTGAGGACAGGGCAGGCACGTGGCAGGTGCCCCCACAGCGAAGGCTCTGAGGCTGGCATTTACCGAGAGTCCCTCAGGCACCTCAGCCGACCTCGTGGTCCCCTGTGAGGGATGTTTGCTGTGAGCACACCCACTTGACAGAAGGAAGCTGGGGCTTTGGTCAAGATTATGCAGCTGGAGGGTGGCAGCACTGGGTTTGTGTCCAGGAAGTCCAGCAGTCCAGCATCAAGGCCCGTGTTCCTTAAAAAAAAAATTATATATATATATATATATATATATATATATATATATATATATATAATTGATTTCAGAGATGAAGGGAGAGGAAAAGAGAGATAGAAACAACAGTGATGAGCCGAAACCGGTTTGGCTCAGTGGATAGAGCGTCGGCCTGCAGACTGAAAGATCCCTGGTTCGATTCTGGTCAAGGGCATGTACCTTGGTTGCGGGCACATTCCCAGTAGGGGGTGTGCAAGAGGCAGCTGATCGATGATTCTCTCTCATCGATGTTTCTAACTCTCTATCCCTCTCTCTTTCTCTCTGTAAAAAAAAAAAAAAAAAAAAAAAAAAAAAAAAATATATATATATATATATATATATATATATATATATATATATATATATAAAAGAAAGAAGCAACAATGATGAGACAGAATCATGGATCAGCTGCCTCCTGCACGAGTGTCAATCTGACCGGGAATCGAACTGTGACCTCCTGGTCCAGAGGTCGATGCTCAGCCCCTGAGCCACGCCGGCTGGCCGGCTGGCCGGGGTTTTCTTTCCTGCACAAGCACACCTGCCAGAGCCGGGCCCCGGGCGGGCGGAGCGGGGCCTGTGACGCCTGAGCCGCCCGCCCTCTGCCTCCCCAGTTACATCCGCTGCTACTACTGGGCGGTGAAGACCCTCATCACCATCGGCGGGCTGCCCGACCCCAAGACGCTGTTTGAGATCGTCTTCCAGCTGCTGAACTACTTCACGGGCGTCTTCGCCTTCTCCGTGATGATCGGACAGGTAGCCGGGCCCTGGCCCGGCGTCCACACCAGCCCCGGGAGCTGCCCGCCTGCCTGGGCCTTAGACTGAGCCTGGAGCCTGGGCTCGGGGCCCAGCCCCTGGGGCAGTGGCTTTCCTGGGAAATGCCCCCCCACCCCCACTCCCACCCCCGGAGAGCTGGCTCAATGGCTTCTGCAGAGGCTGAGGAACTGGAGAGAGCAGCCCCTGGGGTGGGGTTCTGCTGTGCTGGAGGGGACACTCAGCAGTCCTCAGATCGACCTTTGGGGGTCCCGCCGTCACCGGGCATATTTCCTGCCTCCGGGGGCCCCAGTGCCCCTGGCACCAAGCGGCTGTGTGGTATCAACATCAGCCCAGCCCTGACCGGTGTGGCTCAGTGGATAGAGCGTCGGCCTGTGGACTGAAAGGTCCCGGGTTCAATTCCAGTCAAGGGCATGTAATACCTGGGTTACGGGCACATCCCCAGTAGGAGGTGTGCAAGAGGCAGCTGATCGATGATTCTCTCTCATCGATGTTTCTAACTCTCTATCCCCTCCCTTCCTCTCTGATTTAAAAAAAAAAAATCAATGAAATCATATATTTTTTAAAACAACCCCACAAAACCAAAAACACCAGCCCGGCCCCTGGGACCTGAGGCCACCCAGGGGGCCTGCAGCCTCCCCCCTCTACTCCCCCCCCCCCTCATTACCTCCCGTTGCTGGAGACAGAACTCCCCGCCAGCAACTCCTTCTCTGGGTGGACGTGGGCCTCCTGCTCTCTGAACCCCCACTGCACCCTGGTCCCCAAAGCCCATGGAACGGCCCCATTCTGATTCGGCGGCTTCCTCCCTCCCCTCCCCCCGCCTCCCCCTCTCAACCCAGATGAGAGACGTGGTGGGGGCGGCCACGGCGGGGCAGACCTACTACCGCAGCTGCATGGACAGCACCGTGAAGTACATGAACTTCTACAAGATCCCCCGGTCCGTGCAGAACCGCGTCAAGACCTGGTACGAGTACACCTGGCACTCCCAAGGCATGCTGGGTAAGACTCCCCCCTGGGGCCTCTGTGGGCTGTGTCCCTACATTTAAGTGAGAGGGACCCAGGGGGAGCGGGGTATGGGGTGCCCGGAGCTGGGCCGTCAGGAGGCCCTGGAGATCTGAGGGGCTTGTCTTCTGGGCGCTCTGCCCACCTCACTCCACCCACCTTGGGATGGGGTGAGGGGAGTCCAACTGAGTCAGGAGAAAAGGAAGCCTCTCTCTATGTGTGTGTCTCCAAATATATACATACACTAGAGGCCCGGTGCATGAATTCGTGCACATTGAAAACAAATTAATTAGAAGAAATATTTTAGCGGCCGGGAGGGACTGTGGGAGGTTGGCTTCAGGGTACGTCCAGCCTGTCTCACCCTGTTCCCATCAGGACCAATCAGGGCCAATCAAGGCAGGCTGGCCAGGGAGAGACTGTGGGAGGGCTCCAGGGTGTGTCCAGCCCATCTCACCCAGTCCCAAATCGGCTGGACCCCAGTAGCAAGCTAACCTATGGGTTGGAGCCTCTGCTCTCTGGTGGTCAGTGCGCATCATTGCAACTGGTTGAACAGTTGACTGAACAGTGGACCAGCCGGACACTTAGCATATTAGGCTTTTATATACACTGAGCGGCCAGATTATTATGATCTCTGAACGCATAATAATCTGGCCACCCAGTGTGTGTGTGCGTGTGTGTGTGTGTGGATGGGTGTGGATGGGCCAAGTACAGTGTGGACGGGGCCAGGTGCAGTGTGGGTGGAGCCAGGTGCAGTGTGAATGGAGACAGGTGCAGTGTGGACAGGCCGGGTGCAGTGTAGACAGGCCGGGTGCAGTGTGGATGGGTCGGGTGCAGTGTGGATGGGCCGGGTGCAGTGTAGACAGGCCGGGTGCAGTGTGGACGGGCCGGGTGCAGTGTGGATGGGCCGGGTGCAGTGTAGACAGGCCGGGTGCAGTGTGGAGGGGCCGGGTGCAGTGTGGACAGGCCGGGTGCAGTGTGGATGGGCTGGGTGCAGTGTGGATGGGCTGGGTGCAGTGTAGACAGGCCGGGTGCAGTGTAGACAGAGCTGGGTGCAGTGTAGACAGGACGAGTGCAGTGTAGACAGAGCTGGGTGCAGTGTGCACTAGGCCCACGTGGCGGGCGGAGCCTGGCTGAGCCTCTGACGCTCGCCGGGGTCTCGTTTGCAGATGAGTCGGAGCTGATGGTGCAGCTTCCAGACAAGATGCGGCTGGACCTGGCCATCGACGTGAACTACGACATCGTCAGCAAGGTGGCGCTCTTCCAGGTACCCCACCGGGTACAGTGTGGACAGGCCGGGTGCAGTGTAGACTCCCCCACCGCCCGCACCCCAGGCTCTGGGCGGCCGGCCCCCTCTGACGGGCTCCCGGCCCCCAGGGCTGTGACCGGCAGATGATCTTCGACATGCTCAAGCGGCTGCGCTCCGTCGTCTACCTGCCCAACGACTACGTGTGCAAGAAGGTGGGGGCTCCCGGCCGGCTGCGGAGGGCGGGGGGAGGGGGGCTGTGAGGGCCAGAGGGTGGGGCGCAGGGAAGGGGACTGGCAGGGAGGGAGAGTGGCTGTGGCTCTGCGCCGTCCGCCGGCCGCGGGGATCCTGGTTCCGTGGGTCGGAGGGGGGCAGGGTGAGGAGTCCCCCGTTACAGAAGAGGGACGTGGGAGCCTGAGGGGGGCAGGGCGTGGCTGTGCAGGTGGAACTGTGCCAGGATCCTGGTCCTGCTCCAGGGAGGAGGGGGCGGGAGTGGAGGTGGGCCAGGGTCAGGCTGTAGCTGATGCCCCACATAGATGTCTGTGGGGTTTTCCACCTAACCTTTTAAAATTAATGTCTTATTATTTTTTTAAAAATATATATATTTTATTGATTTTTTTTTACAGAGAGGAAGGGAGTGGGAGAGAGAGCTAGAAACATTGATGAGAGAGAAACATCGACCAGCTGCCTCCTGCACACCGCCCACTGGGGATGTGCCCGCAACCAAGGTACATGCCTTGACCAGAATTGAACCCGGGACCCTTCAGTCCACAGGCTGACGCTCTATCCACTGAGCCAAACCGGTTAGGGCCACCTAACCTTTTTTTTTTAAAGTTATATAGAAAGTTTGTGGGCTTGATCATTGATCGGAGGCAGCCGATCAATGTTTCTCTCTCATCATTGATGTTTTTATCTCTTTCTCTCATTTTTCCTTTCTCTCTGAAATCAATAAAATATACAAATGATCAATGATCAAGCTCACAAACTGGACAAGTGGTCGACAGGGAATCGAACCGTGACCTCCTGGTTCATAGGCCCATGGGCCCTCATCGGGGGTGTGGAGCGGGAATTTGTAAAGCACCATTACCCCTGCCCATTCCATCCAGCATTATCCGTCCCCCACCCACCCCCCACTGCAACCCTGTCACCCAGGCAGGCCGGGGAGCGGGGTTCATTCTCCCCAATCCACAGAGGGAGGCCGAGGCCCCCCACCCACCACGCCGTGGCCGGCTGGCCCGGGGCGGGCTCCTGGCGCCGTGCCACTGGCCAGGCCTGCATGTCCGTGGTCGCTTTGACCGTGACAGAGGGACGTCCCCTCCCGGTTCCAGGGGGAGATAGGACGCGAGATGTACATCATCCAGGCCGGGCAGGTGCAGGTGCTGGGCGGCCCCGACGGGAAGTCCGTGCTGGTGACGCTGAGAGCTGGCTCCGTGTTCGGAGAAATAAGGTCAGGCGGGGAGGACGGGGTGGGTGTGTGTGTGGGGGGGAGAAGGGGGTGGGGGGGAAGAGGGTGGGGGAGAGGGGGTTGGGGGGGGCTATGGGGGGGCTCACCCTCAGGGCCCGGGGGTCAGAGGGAGCCGCTGAGGATGCACCGGCACGCAGTGGCATGCTCTCACGGGTGTGGGGCTGACACGGCGGGGAGGAAGACCGAAGGGCCTCACCCCCCACCCGCCTGCCCGTCCTTCCTCTCCCAGCCTGCTGGCCGTCGGAGGCGGGAACCGGCGCACGGCCAACGTGGTGGCCCACGGCTTCACCAACCTCTTCATCCTGGACAAGAAGGACCTGAATGAGATCCTGGTGCATTACCCCGAGTCCCAGAAGCTGCTCCGCAAGAAGGCCAGGTACTTTTCTTTCTTTTAAAAAAAATATACTTTTATTCATTTCAGAGAGGAAGGAAGAGGGGGAGAGAGAGAGAAACGTCAGTGGAGGAGACAGAATCATCGATCGGCTGCCTTCTGCAGGCCCCAGCCTGCAACCTGGGCATGTGCCTGCCCTTGACTGGAATCGAACCTGGGACCCTTTGGTCCGCAGGCTGACGCTCTAGCCACTGAGCCAAACCTGTTAAGGCTCTGATTCCGGGTTTGCAGGGACTTCATAGAATTTACCCAAGTAATGGGAATTGACTGATTATGTCTGAGAACTTACCCCAACCCGTCTCTCCCCCGCCCCCCTGCCCCCCCTGTCCACCTGCAGCCCCCCTTCCCCCCACCAACTCTTCCTCCCCCGGCAAGAAAGCCAGGCTCAAGTGGCAATGCCATCCCACCGGCTGGGTTAGGTGAAGCTTTGCCAAATCAGCCAGATCCTGCAGAGGCCTGGCTCCTGACCTGCCTGCGGGACAGGGGGTGGGGAGGGGGCAGCCAGAGGAAGGAGGAGGGGCTGATTCTGGTTCTCGGGACAACAAGTTTGAGGGGAAAGGCAGGGGACCACGTAGGGGCGCTGTCCATCAAAAGAGAGGCGAGATCGCCTGGCTGGTGTGGCTCAGTGGTTGAGCGTCGACCTATGAACCAGGAGGTCACCTTTCGATTCCTGATCAGGACACTTGCCCGGGATGCTGGCTCAATCCCCAGTAGGGGGTGTGCAGGAGGCAGCCGATCCATGATTCCTTCTCATCATTGATGTTTCTGTCTCTCTCTCTCCCTTCCTCTCTGAAATCAATTTAAAAAGAGAGAGAGAGAGCTGAAACCGATTTGGCTCAGTGGATAGAGCGTCGGCCTATGAACTGAAAGGTTCCAGGTTCGATTCCGGTCAAGGGCATGTACCTTGGTTGCCAGCACATCCCCAGTAGGAGGTGAGCAAGAGGTAGCTGATCAAAGATTCTCTCTCATCGATGTTTCTAACTCTCTATCCCTCTCTGTAAAAAAATCAACAAAATAGATTTAAAAAGAGAGAGAGAGAGGGAGAGAGGGAGATGGGGTCTGAGAACCGCAGGGCCTGGGGGTGTCTGAGTTGGTGAAAGCCACGTGTGGGGTTCTGTCCGAGTTCCCCACGTTATGGGAGACCCGGGGGGGCCCCAAACAGGAGAGGCGCTCAGCTCTTGGATTTGGGCCCTCCCGGAAAGGGGAGCCGAGATGCCTCGTGCCTGCCCCTTCCTTCGTGGGCGAACGCTCGATCTTAATTACAGTGACATGCATGTCCTCTGAAAACGGGGCTCACCTGCCTTCACCCTGAGGGGCCCCGGGAGCCCGCTCCGCGTTTCGAACCAGAGCTGGCCGCCGGCCCTCGCCAAGGTCCCGCACACAGTTCCTCTGTGTCGCTCTCATCCCCCACCAAGCCCTCCCGCAGACAGGCGTGCGCTGAATGACAGACTTGAATAACCAGGCCTCCGATGGCGATCACGTCGGGGTTCTCCGGGGGTGGGGGGGTGGGGGGGGTGGAGGGGAGCCCCAGCTCGCTAATGCGCATCTTGGGCAATTCCAACCCATTGCCTCTGATTAGAGCGGCCGCCAGCGGGGCCCCCTTGGTGAACAGACAACTTTTGCCGGGAGCCGATGGATGCATGAATGGGCCGATTAGTGGTCCCGGGTCTGCTAGGCTGCAGGCGGGACACACGTGTTCCCGAGCCAAACCACTCATCACAGACGTGCGGCGTGGAGAATTCCTCGGAGAGGCGGCCGCTCCATTGGACGGAAAAGTCTCCCCTCCTTTAGAGGAGCCGGGTGACGTGTCGCACTTAATCTGGGTTGTGATTCCGTCTCTGCCCTTTCCCGGCCACCGCGGGCTCCTCCCTCGCCCTCCCCCGCTTTCCGGGCCTCAGTTTCCCCAGCTCTCACAGGCCCAGGGATCCCAGCCCTTCCCGTGCCACAGGAGTGCCGTCGGCATCCAGGAAGAGCATGCCCGTGAAGGTGCCGCGACCACGAAGGCCCGGCGTGCTGGGGGCCGGGGTGTGGGTTTGAATCCCAGCTCCGCCACTTCCTAGCTGTGTGAGCTGGGGAGAGTCGCTCGCCCTGGGCTGCGGGCTTGATCCCCAGTAGGAGGTGTGCAGGAGGCAGCTGATCAACGATCCTCTCTCATCATGGATGTTCCAATCTCTCTCTCTCTCTTTCCCATCCTCTCTAAAAAATATATTTGAAAAACAAATTGGCTTGCCAAACAACCACCACCATGCAAATCCAATTCTAAGAGCACTATGCAAGCAAACTCATCCTCTGTCCCTGAGAGTGCTGGGGACCTAGAGGATGCTGAGTGCTGGGGACATGAGTGGACGCTCCGTGCTGGGGACATGAGTGGACGCTCCGTGCTGGGGACATGAGTGGACGCTGCGTGCTGGGGACATGAGCGGACACTGTGCTGGTGACACGAGCAGACGCTGCTTTCTTGCAGGCGCATGCTGAAGAGCAACAGCAAGCCCAAGGAGAAGAGTGTGCTCATCCTCCCCCCTCGGGCCGGCACCCCCAAGCTCTTCAACGCCGCCCTGGCCGCAGCGGGAAAGATGGGCGCCAGGGGGGCGCGAGGCGGCCAGCTGGCCCACCTCCGGGCGCGGCTCAAAGAGCTGGCTGCGCTGGAGGCGGCTGCCAAACAGCAGCAGCTGCTGGAACAGGTACTGTGCCGGGAACCCGGCCACCGACCCGGGTCCGCTCGGTGCCAGGCAGAAGGCAGGCCCGGGGCCTCCGAGGGGACCCAGAGTCCATTCCAGGGAGTGCTTTTCTCCCTTCCTTCCTTCCTTCTTTCCTTCCTTCCTTCCTTCCTTCCTTCCTTCCTTCCTTCCTTCCTTCCTTCCTTCCTTCCTTCCTTCCTTCCTTCCTTCCTGTCTACCAGGGCTCCTTTGGTTGCAAGGGAAAGTACAAGCTCATATTTACTTGAGAAAACCAAGTTTATTGGGTGGAGTAAATTAAAAAGTTCGGGCAAGTGTTACCAGGAAACCCGTTGGGTTAGGGTTGCCTGTCGCTGTGTCCAATAAGGAAGGCAGGGTTGAACCATATTAGGCGTTTATGGAGAAGACCAGCCAACCAAGAAGTCAGGGCACTCACAAGCATCAAATCCTGCCTTCCAGCACAGTGCAGGGGCAGGAAAGTATAAAGAGGAAGGCCCAGGGTGCTACCCGCAGCCCCGGGGGTCCACAGATGCCAGCTATTGTCTTTAGTCTTTGATGAGATGATGTTGGCGAGATGATGTTTTGACTCCTGGTGGGTCGGCCTGACCATGATTGTCAGGTCTGCTCGCTGGATTCCCGGCTGAGTCGCCTCCTCCATCGCTTCGCCCAGGCCTTGAAAAGGAAACTTTAAGAAAAACTTAACTCCCTATCTATACTAATAAAAGCCTTGGGGGTGATCAGGCCGGCAGGGGAGAGCAGTTGGGGACGGTCAGGCGAGCAGGAGAGCCGTTAGGCGACAATCAGGCCAGCAGGGGAGTGGTTAGGCGGTGATCAGGCTGGCAGGCGGAAGAGGTTAGGGGCAATCAAGCAGGCATGCAGCAAGCGGTTAGGAGTCAGCGGTCCTGGATTGTGTGAGGGATGTCCGCTAGAGGGTCTGAGATTGGCAAGGGTGCAGGCTGGGCTGAGGGACATCCCTCCCCCCGCCCCACCACACACACACTGTGCACAAATTTAATGCACGGGGCCTCTAGTTCTCATATAAGAACGTAACCCCCTATTCATGTAAGTATACGTGTTCCAAGATTTAAAATAACACGATAACTTTTCAGATGAGTTCAGGTAATAGGTCCCCTACCCACAAGGCTGGGCCCAAACCCCAAATGATGCCAACAGGACGAGGCGTATCACCTGTTTTCCTGGGAGAGGACTCCATTCCCGGGCGGGCCCCAACAGAAAGTGTAGCAACTCGCCAAAACCGGTTTGGCTCGGTGGATAGAGCGTCGGTCTGCGGACTGAAAGGTCCCAGGTTCGATTCCGGTCAAGGGCATGTACATTGGTTGCGGGCACATCCCTGGTGTAGGGTGTGCAGGAGGCAGCTGGTCGATGTCTCTCTCTCTCTCTCTCTCTCATCGATGTTTCTAGCTCTCTATCCCTCTCCTGTCCTCTCTGTAAAAAAATCAATAAAACATATTAAAAAAAAAAAAAAAAAGAAAAGAAAAGAAAAAAAAAGTGTAGCAACTTCAACAGAAAGAAAGCAGCTCTTTTCCAGTAATTCCAGCAAAAATCCCAGGGCTCGCTGTCATTGGACAGAATCGGGTCACATGTCAATTCCTGAGCCATTGGGTGGGGTGCTCCCCAGAGGCCTGGCTCACATGCCCCGCCCCAGGTGGAGGCGGTAGAGTGACTATCCCACCGGGAAGTCCTGGTGTTGGCGGCAGACGTCCCTCCCTCCCCAGATAAAAGGGATGTTCTCCTCGTGAAGGTTGTGTCTGCTGAAAGGATTTGCATTTTAAAAGACTTGGAAAAGGCAACAGGCATGGCGCAGGCTGCTCCCGCCCCCATAAATCTAAAGGGAATTTTTAAATTAGTTCTGGGACGGTTTTTCTGTGACTAATGCCCAGAATGCCAATTAGAATGATTGCATTAATTATGGCTGCTCATTACTGTCCTGCAGGGAGGCTGCCAGGAAATGGGGGGATGGGCTTAGGCCAGAGCTCGGTGGTGGGGGTGAGGGTGGGTTGGGGGGGGGCAGCAGGCCATGGGAGACAATTCGGAGGAGCCGCCCATAACATAGCATTTCTGTAAGTCGCCATGACGGCTCCACCCAGCCCCCACCCGCTAGTTGCACCTGCTGAGCTCACCATCCTTTCCCATGGGGAGTCTGACGAGGGGAACAGGGAGGTAGCTGAGATCCCGTGGGCATTCTCAGCCTTACCAGTCACCTTTTTGGGATTCTAGGCCAAGAGCTCGGAAGACACTGCGGAAGAGGTGGGCTCTGCCGCCCCCGACCAGCCTGTACCCCAGGAACCCCCGGCCCCAGACTCTCAGCCACCCGCCTTGCCAGGGGGCGCCAAGGAGGGGGCGGCTGGTCCCCAGGAGGAGCCCTCGGTGCAGGTCCACGTGAGCCCCGGCCTGGGCCCTGGCGAACAGATCCTGTCGGTGGAGATTCCAGAGGAGATCCCAGAGAAGAAGAAAGAGGCGGAGTGAGGTGCCCACCTGCCCCACCCAGCAGCCCAGCAGCCCAGCAGCCCAGCAGCAAAGACACTGGTCCACAGTGGTGGGCTGGGTGGCCGACCCTCAGCTCCCTGCTGGCCCACATCCTCTCCCACACCAGCTTCTCCTGGCTGGTCTTGACGGCACCAGATTTCCCAGTGTCCCTCAGTTCCCACCTCGCTTGACCAATATTTTCAAGAACAAATATTTTTTTTTTTCCAATTTGCAAGTTCTTAGGCAGAGGCTAGAATGGGCTTTAACAGCAGGGGGCACTTTGCTGGAGGTCAAGGGCTTTGACTGTTGGGGGTTTCCCTTCAGGAATGGGTCTTCCGCGTTTCAAGGACAGGAAGGGTCCAGCAGAAAGGCAGGCAGTTGTACTGTCCTTTATTTTATTTTATGAATTTTACAAAATATATTATTGATTTTTGGAGAGGAAGGGAGAGAAAGAAACATCAAGGATGAGAGAGAATCATTGATTGGCTGCCTCCTGCACGCCCCCTACTGGGGATCAAGCCCACAACTCAGGCATGTGCCCTTGGCTGGAATGGAACCTTCAGTCTGCAGGCTGACACTCTATCCACTGAGCCAAACCAGCTAGGGCTATACTGTCAGGGAATAGGGTACCTCTTACCCCATGCTGGATGCTGTCTCTTTTCTTACTCCCCCCCTCCCCCCCCAGTAATTTTTTTTATTGATTTCAGAGAGGAAGGGAAAGGGAGAGAGAAACATCAATGATGACAGAATCATCAATTGGCTGCCTTCTGCACGCCCCCTCCTAGGGATTGAACCCATAACCCCGGCAGGTGTCCCTCCTGGTTCCTAGGTCAGTGCTCAGCCACTGAGCCACACCTGCCGGATGAGCCACTGTTACTTTTCACTTGATTTATCTGGGAGTGTCTTCCCTTTCAGCTCACAAAGGGCCTGCTTGTTTTGCGCTAATTGCACTCTGGTCCGTGTCTGGAAATATCATAACATTGACCTGTTCCACCGTTCACACGCATTTGCATTATTTCCCATCGCAGGCCGTTAAACAAAATGCTTCAGTAGAAAATCGCACCCAGACGTCACTTCACTGGTAAACACTATTTCTAAACAGGAGAAGTCTGGAGGTTTGGGCTAATGCTTTTTCTTTATCTTTTCCATTTATCATTCTCATATTGGCATTGTGCATCCTAATAGAGGTCTAAGCGTAGGGAATGCTTTCATCCTGAGCAAGCACTTCAGATATATCAATACAGTAAGCATATTGCCCTTCAGGAGATGACAACATGTCTCAAGGGCACCCTCGCTGTGAGATCCTATTTTATGAGGATTTTTTTTGTTTATTTTTAATATGTTTTTATTGATTTCAGAGAGGAAGAGAGAGGGAGAGAGATAGACACATCAAGGATGAGAGAGAATCATGGATCGGCTGCCTCCTGCATGCACGCCCCTTACCGGGGATTGAGCTGGCAACCTGGGCACGTGCCCTGACCGGGAATCGAACCATGACCTCCTGCTTCATAGGTCAACGCTCAACCCCTGAGCCATGGCAGCTGGGCTATGAGGACTTTTTAATACGAATGTACTTATCCTTTTAGATCTCAGCCCCTTGAATGTATACTGCTTATTATATAAAGCGAGATATTTTTTGAGGTTCCCAAGAAGTGTCCTTTGAAAGAAAATTGATTTTTGAGGCGAGATTAGCGGTGTCTTAATTTCACCGCGCCATCTCACGGAACGGCACAATGTCACAGAACGTGGGTATTGGGTACATGGAGTCGGAGGTTGGCATTATTCTCCAAGCAGAATCGGGTGGGCTGGTCGCCCAGGCGTGGACGGAACAACTCAGAAACACTAATTTTGCCGCTGAACTGGGACCTGTATTTATTATGCCTGTGGAATCTTGACTGATTTAAAACGTCTCAGCGTTGCCTGCCTTCGGGTAGAAAATGAATAGCGAGCTATGTTTTTCTTCTAACTACGTACACATTTTTAAATAAAACGAACACCAAGGAGCTGCTTAAAATTCCATTATCAGAATGTGCTCAGCTTAACCTGGAATACTCTCCGCTGTTTTCTTAGTACATGGGCGCCCGGCCTTGCATGCTCTGGCTCCCATCCCAATCATGGCGCGTTTTAATTAAAAGAGGTTCAACCCGCGTCCCTGGCTCGTGGGTTCATTTCGGAAACGGACCATGCGTGACAGACACTTTAGCGAGGAAAGCCCCACCCGTGGCCTGGCTCAGGCTGCCTGGCCCGTCCCCACTGCCCGCTCCGGGGCTGCCCTCCGGCCTGCAGTGCCGTGGCTGAGTGACATCCTGGTGGCATGCCTTACCAACCTTCCTGGGCCCTAGGATTCCAAGACCTCCCCCCGACAAAAAAAAAAAGAAAAATGCCCAGCCCCTTTGTATCTGGTCTCCTATTGGCCTCACCAAGCCCACTGGCCTCATTCAAAGGTGCAGAGTGCTGACCAGCCCGGGCCAGGGGTTCCGACTGCCTGGCCTGCAGCCCGCAGCTGGACCATTTCCGTGGGTGGCCATGGACCGCTCTGAGCCCCAACGACTTCATCTGTGAGACGGAGTTGATACACCCACTGCCCAGGGCCACTGAGATGGGCAGATAAGAGACTGGCATCGCTGGTCGGAAGGGGCGTGAGGACGCAAGCGACTTCATATCCTAAGGTGACCAGATGTCCCGCTTTTGGCGGGACAAGTGGGACGTCTGGTCACTTTAATTAGACCGACAAGGAAGGCAAATGGATCAAGAGCTCCAACCGCGAGAGACCACCTTGAAAGACGCTCAGAAGCAGGTCTGGAACAGATGTGCTCGGAGGGGGAGGACGTGAGTTACGGGCTGGCATGGCCAGGAGGGGCTTCGTGGAGACCGAGCTGCCCGGAGGAGGAAGGGAAGGCTGGCCAGGAGCGGGGCTGTGGCGGCAGACCTTCCGGACACGTGCCAAGTGCCATGAGGGAAGGGTTCATAACAGGCCAGGTTAGGTGATTAGGCATCTCTGGTCCGCTCCCGAGGCCAGCATCCAAACGCTGACTGCTCTCTGTGACTCGGCTGGCTTTCGGCCCAGTGCCAGACGGAGCAAATAAGAATACAGGCTGCCTCCATTTCAGATACGCAGCAGAGGGAGGGCTTTTCCTGTTCAGCGTAGGGGCCCTGCTCACTATGTGGGATCTGTTGATGCTAAACGTTATTTGTGATTTACCCAGAATTCCCCTGAGACTGGCACTTCAAGTGGGCTGGGGTGGCCGCCACCTCGCTGGCCTGGGCCCTGAGACATCCCAGCGGCGTCCCAGCCGGGAAAGGCTTCCGATTGGATGCCTCGCTCCCTCCTTCTCCAGAGCGGGGTCGTGATTGGCGGAGGAGGAGGGAGAGGACCCGCCCCGTTCTGTGGGCCGGGGTGTTTGGTTTTTAATAGTCACCGTTATTCGCTTTATTCTGCACGCACCTAGGATAGGAGATGTCCTGCAGGTTTCTTATGAGTGGCCTTCATGCAGATAATACCCTGCGCCACCCGCACACCCGAGAGGCCCAGGACTCATGCAGGCAGCCAGACACTGCCCAGGTGAGGGGCTGGGAAAATGAGTGTGTGTGCTCCTGAAGGGGAAGGAGGTCGTGGCACCCCTCCCCTCCGGAAACCTGGGGCCTGGCACCTCCCTCCCTCCCTTTGGTATGTAAACGATCTCCCCTCCCCCCACCCCTTGAGCCAAGTCTCCCTACCCCTGCTTCCTGGGGCCCCCCCAGTCCTGGGACTTCACTCCCTTGGATGTCAGTGTCTATGGAGACAGGGCTAGGGCCTCCTGACACCTTGGGCTGCACCTGGAGGCCTGGGCCCAGCTGCAGCCCTTTGGCCCTGGATTGCCCTTTCAGAGGAGAGCAATTAGCCAGACAAACGGCTGCAGGTCTGACCAGCACAGTCGCTGCAGGAGGCTGGGCTTCCCCACGCCCCCTCCTCACCCCCCCAACGCTGAGAAATCCAGGGACCTTGTGTTTCCCAGAGTCGGTCCCTGTAAAAATGTGCATGCGGACTGGACTGCTGGGGCACCCGCCCTTCACATTTCTAGATTTCTGAAACCAGAAGTGCCCTGCTCCTGTAAGAACGAGAAGTGGTTCCAGACAGAACCAAAACAAGCGTTCAGGTGAGACCGAAAACATCCGTATGGAAGCCGAACGGTTAAGCAAACGTTTTAAAACCAGCCCAAACCGGTTTGGCTCAGTGCATAGAGCGTTGGCCTGCGGACTGAAGGGTCCCAGGTTCGATTCCGTTTCAAGGCCATGTATCTTGGTGGCGGGCACATCCCCAGTAGGGGGTATGCAAGAGGCAACTAATCAATGTTTCTCTCTCATCGATGTTTCTAACTCTATCCCTCTTCCTTTCTCTCCGTAAAAAAATCAATAAAATATATATATATATATAAAATAAAATCAGATCTGCCTCCATTCCGTGGAGGATGTGGTGTCGGGTGATTGTTGGCAGGTGAGTGGTGCGTAGCACCCCCCCCCCCCCCCCCCCCGGGAAAGAAGCTGCTAGGACAGAGTAGGAGCCCCGAAAGTTGGTCCCCAAGAAAGAACATGCTGCGTGCTGTCAGCATCTCAGTTTACTCAGAGGGCGGGATTGAGAATGGAGGGGGGTTGTTTTGAAATTGCCCCCAGAGAAACATTCTGTGGTGACTGTGGAGAAGAAAAATGTGAAGCCTAGGAAAGGAGATCCAGAACTTTGAGTGATTCAGATTTGAATGACAGGCCTTAGGAGTCACAGGTGTCCTTAGGAGGAAAATCAAAGGGCAGCCACCTACCTTTCCTAGCAGGGCCCTGCGTGAGATTGCTAATAGGAAAGTAAACAGGAATGCTTCTCTTAAATTTGGCAGCAGATAGGACTTTGAATGGCAGAATGATGTATGCGAGGGGCCTTGGAGCTGTCCTACTTAGCAATTCCGTTTTGATTTTTTTAAATATTGTTTAAAGTATGACATATGTCTCCTTTTTCCCCTATTGACCCCCCC